ATGCCATAGCGTTCGCGCATTTGTATTCATGAAAATATGCTTTCGCGCGTTGCTTCCAGCGGAACTTAATGACCTAATCGATGCACTTAGCAGTTAATTGCAAGGTAAAGCAAAAGAAAAATAGGCAGTCGATCGCGATGCGCGCACAAGACCATCGCGCACCAGCATTGTTTGCTCAAAATGCTTCCCTTATAGCTAAATAGAGAAATATCAAGATAAGCCGTCGGGGCACACATGCACTCACAAGAATACACACTTAACATAAATAATTCACGAGACACTTGACAGACAAACGGAAGAAAAATAACTTAAATCTCTATTGTTTCGCCTTTTACGATTGCAACTTGATTAAGCTCAGCGCGCGCGCGGAGCGCATCCGTATTAAACTTACCGGTTATAGAATTTCGCCGGAAGGGGTCAAGACCCCTATCTCTGTCTCACGGTAAACCTTGGGTTTATCGAACGGCGTTAACTTTGTTTTAAGTATGATTTAGAGAGGCCGCGCGCGTTAATAATTTATCTGTCGGTGGCGGCGGCGATCACGCTGCTTTGCTCTGCTATGCGAGCAATTTGCCGGGAAAGCGTGCATCCGTAAAAGACCGTTAATATCGCGTGGGACATGTACTTATACCGGATCACCGTAAAATTATTCAATTTTATTGTTAGGCGAGCACAAAGTGGCGTTCGCTGTGTGTTATCTGCCTGCCTGTAAGCACATTCGATCGCGAAAAAAATTGCGAACAAAAATTGTGCGTTGGATATGAACTACGCGCTACTGGTTTGCATCGACGGACAAAGCCAACAGTATTTTTACGGTACCCGAGCAGCGTTTCACAAACGGGTTGGTATAGCTTTGCGCGAAACCGTTAGCTTATTTTAGATATGCTTTTGCGTTTATTTAAAATCAAATAACAAAAATGTCCGATTGCCGGCTTGCGGTAACTATTCTTTTTCTCCGACCGATTGTTACGATTTCCGCGGCGGCAGCATCGTAAAAATGATTACGACCGATTCCATTGCGCCGCCTTATCTCGCAGAAAAACTTCATTAATCTATAAAATAAAAAAAGTTATTCTATCGGTCCTTAAAGTATTAAGATTTCAGTGCGACTCATGCAGAACGCATTATCTATCAATAATCCCGTGCGAAATTGAAGTTAAGACGCTGCGCATTAAAGGGACAAATTGCCCGTAATTTTTACAGCGATATTATCGGAAGCCACCTATAGTGTGACGTGTAAATGCATATATAAATGACGTCATAAAACATCTAGCGCGATATATCGGATACGCATCACGTTGGTTAAATTGTATTTCAAGTGATTGTATTTCAAGCGATTTCCATTAAATGGATGCGTTGTTGCAACATATGCGTTTGTGCGTGCGCAGCCCTAAGCATCGGAATAAATATACATTTATATCGGATAAATTATTTTATTATCTACCGACAAAGAAGACACTCTCTCTCTCTCTCTCACACACACGGTCCCTTTATGAATAAAAGATAACTCGATTCTTCTAAGAGAATAATCGAGCCATCGCCCGCATCCTTCGCGTTTGTAAACTTTTGTAGGTTAGCGCGCGCGCGCGCAAAATTTTATATCGCCGCCGCGTACCTGTACCTACATTCTTTAGACTCACTCTATCTCTCGCGCGCATACCAACGTTTGCATTTTCACCAAAAAGCCCGTGGAAGAGGCAGACAAAAATTTTTTACGCGCGCGTCTCATACCTCAGTGGCAGCGGCATTTCCATGTGCTCATTGAAAACCGCAAGACAAAAAGATGGAACACGCCGATATTCCTCGCCGCGCAATTTTCGTCTACGATCTCTTGGCGCGAGTTTGTTGTTCGTCGTGCGTTGCCGCCTCGCGAAATTTACGAGCCCCGGCGCACAATCGCGTACGCACGCACGCGCAAACACAGCACGTTATCCTTCATCGGAAAGGTAGGGCGGAGAGAGGATGGCTGAAGAAGAGAGAGAGAGAGAGAGAGTCACATAAAAAAAAAGCCATCGGCAATCTTCAGGATCATGCTGTACAGTCGCCAGCACGCGCGCGCGCTAAAGGTGAAGCACGCGGGTGCTCGTCTATCTCCTTCGAATCGCAAAATAACCCCACGCGCAAGCTCCGTAACAAAGTACAAAGGAAGATACACCGTGGAGAGAGAGAGAGAGAGAGAGAGAGAGGCGCCGCGGATAAATTTTAAGATCGATGCTGCTGTGGTATGTACGCTCTGAGAGAGAGAACTCCATTTTCGTGAGTTTTTTGATTTATTAATACATCGCGGCTTGCACTGTTACGAAGAATTTGTTGGGATTCACACTGCGTTGCGAACATTCCGAAAACAAATTGGAAAGAATAACAAAGTAACTTTTCTTTCGCCTAAACGTTATTTTCTTGAATGATCAGCGTCGTGATATTTTTTTTCCAATTTCGTTTGAAAAAATATTATTTCTCCATCGGAAAATTCAAGACTCCTAACCCCGATCGGTTGAGTACTCAACAAAAGGATAATAATGAAAAATAATCCACGCTCAAGATTTTTTTTCGTCCGCAGATATTCCATACGGTTGTTTTGCTCGTCTCTGCATCGCAGACGGCTTGTTGCCGTAAAAATACATATTCTATTAACTGCGCAGGCCACTGACGCACGTATACGATAATCCTAATAAAATTAATTCAGTCAACTTATTACTGTCTCACATACTTGGTTAGCTTTGAGAAGGTCTTCTCGACCCTCAGATTGCGACGTTGAAGCTGCAAAGACAAAAAAGATATATTAGCTTTAAAAAAAAATACGAAGAAAACTCGTTCCAGCAGCAGCACCGAACCTTTTGACAAAAATCTCTCTCGGAAATCCTTGAATCATCTCTTAATCTCATGCGCGCGTGTGAGAAAGCACGAATGAAATACCAGTCGTGGAAAAGAGAGCAAAAAAAAAAAGACGAAGGGGGCGCAAGAGGCGAGAGGCGGACAAGAGGAGGATTTGCTCGTTCGTCAATAAAAGCTTCTCTCGCTCTGGCGAAGAAGTCATCTCTGCGAGACTTGAAACATACGTACGTTACGTCTTCGAGGAATATAGGTATATAGGAGATACGAGCTTCCTACGCTGCACATGTCCCTTGGGTAAAAGTTGCACGCCTCGTCTTCAACTATATCTATATATACACTCTCCACGTACGCAATTAAACGTCGATCCCTTCGGCGCTCTCTCTCTCTCTCTCTCTCTCTCTCTCTCTCTCTCTTCTGGCATTGTCGTGTTCGCCAGTCGCGGCCAATAAAATTTGAAATTCAGTGGCGATAAATCGCCAACGGGGATATATAAGCCTTTCATTCTCTGTATCTGTGTGTGAGAGAGAGAGAGAGCCTATCTCTGCTTCTTCTTGCCGCTCGCGCATATACTTATACGCGCCGCAGCTATATAAGCTTTGATATTCTCCCTTTCCGACGATAGTTGAAGGGAAACACGATGTCTTCGCCGCAATAGGTCCTTCGGCTTGTACACACGCCGCGCGAGATTGGCTTGATATTTCAATGATGTCGTTTGCGCGATTCCCGCGGCTGTGTGTTTCCGCTACTGGTTTTTCTTCTTGCCGACGAAAGTATGTATACGCATCATACGTTTGATGAGTGCTCGATGCTACGAGATTTTCATTTGCGCGACTTTATTGCTTGTCAATCTGCGATCCTAACTTGTTTTCGAATGCTGCCAAAAAAAAATTTAAAAATTTGTCAATCAATGCAAACGACGCGCATTGTCGTCGGATTAATTTTCAAAGCCGATCTTGCATCAATAAAGTACACTACGAAAAGTATTCAGCGGTGATTATGCTGCTGAATTAACAGTTCGAGTAAAATAAAATGGGATTGCATATAAAAGCAGCCGTAGGTTTAAGTCTCTGGGATCAGTCTGAAATTATGAAGGGGTTGTTGTTGTTGATACTGAAAATTTTGACGAGAACATTTAACGAGAGAAGCAATCGGTAGAAGTGACTTTGATGAAATAGATAAAATATAATTTCAGGCAATTAAACTTGTTATTCCGAGAGATTATTGACAAATCGATCAAGACTTAATTTTAAGCAAATTATCGTGTTTGCAGAGAAAGGTTTTTGCGGTGCGCACATAAAGGAAGCTTGGGAATAAGAGAGAAAAAAAATTATCCGCTATATAATCATGAATAATAACTTGCCGCCAGTAAGAGTGCATGTAATGAGAGCTGCAGCAAAAAAACCAAATCAGCCGAGCAAACAAACAATCATAAAATCAATGAACAGCGTAAAAATATAGCGTGCTATTCATCCTCTCTCTCTCTCTCTCTCTCGGCATGGCATTGAAAGAAAATTCTACGCCTTAGCTTCACGTCGCCGCGCGCGTCTCAGCCATATATAAACATCCTCGCTCGTGCGTGTATGGCTTCTTCAAATTGATGCTTTTTTCTTTACGCTATAGCTCTCTCTCTCTCTCTCTCTCTCTCTCTCTCTCTCTCTCTCTCTCTCTCTCTCTCTTCCACAACTCAACGTGGCAGCGTATAATAAGCGTGCCGCGGCTCCCGTTTAAACGCAAATTACAATAATGCCCCGGGAGCAGAAGAAAGATAGAAAGAAAGAAAGTCTCATCCTCAACATTGTTCGCAAGCCATCATTAATAAATCGGCGTCTTCCTCCGTTTAAACGCCAAGACCCACGCAGAGAGAAGTGTATAAGAGAGGCAGTAGATAGCAGAAGGCCAAGGTCGGCCTTTTCATTATCCCCTTCCTGCCCGTGGAGTGTGCGTGTCTCAAAGAAGGGTTATATCTTCTTAAAGGGCCACTAAAGCGGCCTAACACACTCGGCGTGTTTATTCAAATCGCGTTAGTGGAACTCACACTCGCGCGTCGCTCGCGCGAGATTATAAATGTACGCCCGGCGAGGAGGGAGGAAAACGACGAGTAGTTCAGCCGATAAATCGTCTTACGCGTGTGTCCGTGTGTGCTCATGTCTTTGTTTCTTCTTTTGCAGTGCAAAGCAAGGTGCGATGCTCCGAGCAGTCCATGGAGGTTGACATCGCCAGGACCACACCGCAAGCCCTCATATATCTTCAGCAGCTCAAGAATTATCCTGGTAATGTGTTTCCAAATATTCGAGCTCTGCTATCTATCTGTACCTGCATCCCTCGGCCTATTCTTTATAATCCAGACAACTGCTCATCTCGGTAAATTCTCTCTCTCTCTTTCCCCTCGATCGCAGTAGTACAAACACGCGACGGTATACGCGCTGAGAAGTATAAAGTTTTTCTCTGCCCTCTTCTCTACTCTGTTTCGTTTATTTCGCTGGTAGCCAACATCACTTTCAGCTAATTGATACGTATCTGCCCATTTTTTTATGCGCTTCGCTTGGTCATTGGGCCAATTGCCCCAATTAAAATCAATGAATTCCCGGGCGGAAGAAACGCCTTCTGCGAGCAGGCCAATTTCGCCGTGTTTTTGTCCTCGTATAATTAGTGTAAATCATTAAAGCTCCTATACGACTCTCCGCTCGCGAAACGATTTATTAGGCACACACAGAAAGAAAAAAACAGAGAGAGAGGGGAGCAATCCCCGACAAGTGCGCATGCAAAAGCAATTTCAAAGACGTTAGCGCTTGCGCGTGGAAAAAAGGTAGATTCAAGTCATGGCCGTCGAATATATATTAGGTTAATAAAGCTACGTTTGTTGATGAGCGACAATAAAGCTATTTATTGTTCGGGTTGCATAGCTTTTGTAAACTGAAACGTACCTATATATATACATCGCGTACGCGTCGTCACGGCCCGGCGCGCGATCGTAATACGAGGAGGGGGGAAATAAGGGGCTCTAAAGATGCGCTTTACTGACAGGCGGAGGAGAGGAGGGCGCCCGATTGAGAAAAGCGCATTGTGAGAATAGCTCATTGGAACGCACACGACGCGACGGACGAGGGCAAAATTGAGACTCTTTTTACGCGAGCGGTATTTAAAAGAGTGCACGTGAGCGATTAGCGTGGGGCTTGGGCGCGGGGCAAAAAAAAAAAAAAAAAAAACTGCAAGCGAAGAAGAAGGAGAAGAAAAATAAAGGGTCGACGATCAGAGCTAATGATACCATTCGAAAGCATTCGAGTCCGCGAGCAACCGAGATGCCAGACGGACAATAAGGCCGGCTTTTACTTCTATATCGTGTCTAATGAGCATATAACCAAGACATAATGCGATTTCGCTTTCGAGCAGGCGACGAGCGGGCCGCTCCCGAGGTACCTTTTGCCTGTTAATTGCCCTGCGCTGCTAGCCACTCGATGATGCCCCCGTAATTGCGGAGCGCGTGCAAAAGGAAGATTTTTTAACTGTTGCCAGCAGAAGGATCTACTCGGCGAGTTAGCAGCTCGAGGGTCGCGCGCGCGAGCGTGATAAATATCACCGCGTCTCTCTCTCTCTCTCTCTCTCTCTCTCTCTCTCTCTCTCTCTCTGCCGTATAGCCAGTGACCTTTTTTCTTCTCTCGTCTACCCGCTCTGCGGTCGCATAATGCCACTTTCACGGCTACTTGAAGAGCTAAATTATCGGCCTCTTAATGTCATCTTAATTTGCTAATTTTGCCACAGAACGCAATATTAAAATTCACTTACGGAGAGAGAGAGACTTTGCGTACCCGTTTGGTCAACCATCAAATTGAGTATCTTGCGCTGCGCACCAACTCTTGGCGTCAGCCTTATAGTTGTTAATTCGTTGGTAGGGAAAATCGATGATCCGCAGTGAGAAAACAAAACGCGAGTCCTTCTAGCGAGGAGGTGAGATACATCAAGAGAAGGAACATTTGCGAGTGTATGAGAGTTGATGACTCTACCGCATCAGATGGAAATCAACAATATCTCTTATGCTTTTGTCGGCGAGTCGAATCGCTGTGGTCGCTGTAAAATTAAGCTCTTACACGAACATTGTCTCCGGCTCATCAATCTCCGGTGTCTCGAGCAATTCTGCGGCTGCTGCTGCTGCTGCATTGTCTCGGCGAAAAGCGTGCTTTAGTAGCCTCGAGCAATCTATAAACATACTTGCCGAGGACGTGCCGCACAATACTACAACTCCATCTTCCGCCCTCCCTCCTCGTTCTCTTACTGTTTGCTAAATATTAATTGCCCTAAGCCTTCTACTTCCCTTGCTCGCTTCATCACGCTCAACATCTGTAACCGTACTTTCATTTTTGTTCGTCGCCCGCCCGCGAGACTCGGGCTCTAATCTAGATATGAGGTGGCTTAACTATACATATTTATTTATTTATTTATTTCTCGAAAATCAGTCAACCTAAGCGAATGATTTACTGGAAAAGTAACTATCTCTCGATAGTATTCGACTTCTCGCTCCTTTACGACTCTGTAAATTTTTATCAAAGCAATTTTCACGACATCACGCGCGCAACAAGCTTCTCATAATGTTGCACCAATTGTCGAGTTTTTGCTCGCAAAACTGAGCTGCAATTCGCAGATGCACCAGTTGACCAATGAACATAATAACAAAACAAAAAAGAAAGAATGGCTTGAAGTGAAAAGCAAAATTGGGCCTCGTTTACGGGAAGTGAAAACCTTGCCAGACCGTCATTTTCGCGCTGCTTGCGAGAACTACGAGTCAATTATGCGCTCGGTGCAAAAAATCGTTTTTAGTGATCGATAAATTATTTATCCACCTGGTTATAGCACTGATAACGGTTTTCCGAAGAACGCGACTTTCATTTTTTTTTATTGTTTTTTAAGCTTTTAGGCGTGCAGCATTGAATTTAGCGCATCTTGTTATATTTTTTGTAAACTGTCATTGTTATATTCGTACACAATATCATTAAATCTTACGACCGTTTGATAAATGTGTTGTGTTGCGTATATTTGTCTATGTACGTAAATATCACTACCGTCATTTTATTACCTTTGAAATTAGTGACAATATTAAAGTTTCAGCAAGTGTTATTTCTGCAATATTCCACAGATAAAAATCGAAGGATCTTTATTGACTCAAATTGATTTATAATAACACAAATCTGTCTATCATTTTCTCAAACCGTTCAGATATAAATACAAATATTTTATTTTACAGAGTATCTTATTTTATCATGAACTATTGTACAGTATTTATAATTGGATACAATTGCATAGTTTTAAGATTCATTTATTGTTCTATTATAAATTGCATATATTAATCAAGTAACAATGCAAATAGGAATTTTTAAGATTTCGTACAGGAATAAATGTTTTATAATTGGCAGCTTAATGTTACAATGGAAAATGAATTGGTACAAAAATTAATAAATAAAAAATTTTGATAATGCAGAAGTCAAGATTTCTTGACTTGAAATAAATTTTTATTTTTCGTGTTTTCAAGTTGATTTCATATGATTTTTGGACCTCTTTAATACAATGGACATCAAATAATTCCTTAATATTCTAATGCAATATATGTTATTAGGCTTCAAAAAATGAATAAAGCAGTGTCTCAATTTCATAGTAAAAAAATAATGGTAAATTGATTCCTCATTAACATTTTGATAGAAAGTATATAAGGCGAGTCAGTAACGAGGCAAACGAAGTCAAAAGCAAGAAACTTTTCTTGGATTTTAACAATTTGAATCGAGTGGACAAACACAGAATAATAATTTTTCATTAATAAGAAAAGACGCACGTGGCGAAACCGTTGCCTGTGCTCGTGGAATAAAGTTAGAAGAGCCATCTCTATTCGATGAGGTCAGTGTCGTGGCGAGGAAACCGGTCACTGTATTGACAAAGCTGAGTAAGCCGTCGTGCGTGTTGTTTGGTCATCGGTCAAGGCACGAATCCGTAGCATGGAGCTGGTAATAAAGAATTGCTTGTATCTAAACTTATCATTGGTGTTGACATTCCCGATTGGTGGTTGTCATCTCTTGTGCTTGTCGTTGTATGTAATTTCTCCGTGATTATAACGTTAGGTTACTTTATTGTACTACCTCATGCCTACTTAATTTTCAATTGTGGCACAGATTATTATTATTATTATTATTAAGATCGATAGTTGTTTAAGGCGCTCACCTCTTTTAAAAAATCGATGTAGTATTTAAGTTTATCGCGGGATCTCCATACAGTCTCACATATACTCTTGGATGATATGTGCGATGACGGAATTATTTAGAAAGTAATTTGAAATTTAGTATATTAAAGTTATCAATTCAGGAACAAGTGGAAAAGTATCCACGTGCACTACGCAAAGACTACCAATGCACTGATGCTAACTATCTTTGTCACTAAAGGTTTCACTCTTGGCTCAACTCTCACTCCGAACGTTTTTCACTTTTTTATAACTTTTCTCAAAGTCCAGTCCTCAAACTACTAAACAAATGCTGACAAAGAGCATATATATTCTGTTTCTCTTTAACAGAAAACTATACCTCGATTACGCGAAAACTCGTAAACGTTTGGCACACTTGTCTTGTCTAATTTTCCGCTACGATTCAAGTAAATTTTCCTATTTACTTTGAAGGTATTATTGGCTTTCTCTAATTTGATTTACATACGTATGTATTTTAAAAGTAAGAATTCATCTAGGTTTATTTCTAAATATTTTACTATTTTTTACTCGATTTTACTTTAATGTTATTCCTGAATAATATGTTTTTCGCTTTTTAGTAGATTTACTTTCAATTTCTATAGGTGATAATGGTGTTTATTTTATTAAACATATTTTCTAATTTTTTCAAGTATATTTTTATCAGTAACGTAAAAAAACAAATCATCTGTGAGTGATAAAAATATTTGATGTCAGTTACAATAAACAAGTCCCCATAAGCGAGGAATTACCGGTGTATAAAAGTTACAAATGGATAGGACCGTTATTATACCTTGTCATAATATATCAACTAACTGAAATGAGTTGTAGAGTTTTTACTTAACCAGTTTTCCCTTCAAAATGACACTTAAGGACCTGATGCCCGCTCATGTAGATTCAGGGTTGGGTTCCTACTTCTATTATCTTTAGCTTTTCGTTATAACTTTCTACTATGGCTCTCTCATTCAGTTTTTGCCCATACCGCTTTCGTTTAAAATATAATTTTTTTTTGTCTCGTCATTTTTAACCGTACATTTATCTGGTATATGATTATCAATGTATCATGATTATCAACACATCAAAAATAAAATTTACAGTTTGCTGATGTATCATCCGAACGTTGATATACTATTGATGTACTACTATATACGAGTCATTTTTCTTGTATGCTTGAGCTATTAACTGATATTTAAGCCTAAAGAACGGTAACCCCGTATTGTTTATAATTGAATTTTGAGTAATAAAATTATTAACTTTCAATATTGATTTTGTTTTTCGTAATAGCAATCAATGTTACCTCTTTTTCATTTAAATTTAAAACATATGTTCAGATCCTTAAACAGGAATGTCTGAGGTTTTCGTGCTTTTGGTGTACACGTTATAAATTTCACATTTATTCCATTTAATTTTTCACAGTACTATTATTTGAGTTAACGACTGTACTATGTTTTGTTAGCACAAATCTTACTATGAAAGGCAAAAACCTTCTCGAGAATATTCATGCACGTCTTACTCTTCCGACTTATTATCTCATCCAACTGGTTGCCGAGATTATGCGCGTTTACGATTGTCTCACTCGTATACGCTCATGATACGCTCGCTCTCTCGTATCAAAAGTATTGAGCCTTATTACCTTTCAAGGTAATCGAATGCGTAGCATTGACCTTGGCTCTTTCTCTTTTGAGCATTGACACTGAATGTGAGGTAGAACAATTGCACTCGAGGTGGAGTTTCTTTTTTTTACTCATGCATAGTAGCATCTGTATAGCACTTATCTCACGAAATCATTTACTCAAAAAAGTTTTTTTATCCGTTATCGAATGCCTTACTTAATTAGCGTCTTCAAGCCGGAGGTTTGTTATCTCACATATGCTACATACCTTGACGGTAATTACTTTAATATTTGCTCATAATTTATTGTAGCATAACTGTTGAACGCTTCGATTTTTTCAACAATGTTTTCCTATTGAAAGGATTTGATTTTAGTCTTTATTTGATAATGTTATGAATTCTACGTCGCTGACCAAGATTACAAGTTATTTGTATTATAATAGTTTTGTAATTTGGATGTTTCGACGAAAAAAGTGTGAAACTCTGGAAAAATTGAGTATTAGGCCGAGTGACTGCGGCTTCTCTTTTTATGTACTAATCGCATACTTAGTTACACATTGATAATCAAATTTATTGCTTATTACCGAACTCAAGAGACGCATTTACTTTATCACAAATAATATTTTTACATCGCGGGTTCGAAAGTTATTATTATTTTCAAGTAGCTCGGTGGTAAAAATCAAATGAAATATAAATGAAAGTTAAAATAATAAAAAATAAAGAAAAAAAAACTGGCTCCAGAGGGGATCGAACCCACGACCTTCGCGTTATTAGCACGACGCTCTAACCAGCTGAGCTATGGAGCCATGCTCAAATTTTTTTTCAGGTACCATTTGACGTAATGACAGTTGAAATTTGTCATGGTAAAATAGTTTATTACGTCATAAGTAACATTTTTCAACTTTTTTGACATAATAAACTTCAATAATAAGCCATTAGCTTTATTTAAGTTTAAAAAATGTATATTATTCATCATTAATTTCGATTAATATTTATTGTTAATTTACTTTCCAATTTAAAAAAATAATTTCAATATTAATGTCAGTTTAAATTAAATTTTATTCAAACAGCAAAAACAGTCGATTATGATAAATATATATATTTACCGTGAAATATTATTTTTAAATATATTAACAATCAGAATCAATTGAATTAGGCTAGATGTATATGTATCTTAAGTAAATTAATTTTTCAAGTTCTTTCATTGTTTGATTGCCGTACATAATAAGCAGCTGCTCTATCCATTCGCATGTTTGAATTTTTCGAACAACGAATTTATTAATTTTCTTTTCGCAACAATTTCTTAAAATATAATAACATAATCTAAGTGAATAAAAATTGTTGGATAGACGAAAAATAACTAAAAAGTAAGTTATAGCAAATTGTCGTCAATCCTTATTTAAAAGACTGCCCGATAAATGAGTGCACGATCTCTTGATCGGATTCGACAATGACGCGGAATTTAGCCGCATCAGCTTTTGGTGTCTTTCACAGCTGCATCTCCGCGGAATACCGTTTAGATTATTTTCATCGATGTGCGGCAATGTCAGTTCTCGAAACGACGTGATTTTCATATTATACAACAACTCGATTACTTATGTTCGTGCCGTTAAAATTTAATATTTTTGACCGTTAAATATTTCTCATTAGCATATCAAGAAGAGACGGTGTAAAAAGACAAATGAGCATGACATTCCCGATAACGTCCGAAGGCTTGGTTAGCAGAAGTCAGATATAGTCTCGCATTAAATCATCTAAGCCATCCGACACTAACGGGTTTCACTTAACCAGGACTCGGGAAAGTTCAACACTTCTTTACAGTGCTAGTTTCTCTGTGAGAAAAATATAAAGAAAGACGTCACTGTTCGCGAAACCGCGAAATCGCAATGATTAAATTCTTGATCTGCGCGTAATGAAACGTCAAGCCTTAGGACACGTAGCGGTTGAATAGCGGCTGAATTCAATTAAACTTCAGCCGCATGAGAAAGAGACGGAGGGAGAGAAGGGATCCCTAATATCCAAGTCAATTCCTCATCAGAAGCTCAATCGTGCTCACGCTCGTCATAAATATAAATGCCCCCCCCCTCCCCCCGCCCTCGTGACTTATCATTTGCATTTTCGCAGACGAAGCCTGCAAACCCAAACTGACCAATGGCATAGCTACGTTCACGCTGTCGCTGCTTGAAAAGGACTTGTCTCGGTGCGGGGTCATGAGGGTCACCAACAAGCTTACGGTAAGCGTTCGATGCATATTGCATTAAAAATAGAAATTCTTTTTATCCGCGCGAGAGTTGCAGCTTACAGTCAATTTGCCGCTTTTAAGGCAAGTGTTATTGGACGTATATTACAGCTACGAATACGCTATAACAGCCATTACCAAGGGAGTGGCATGACCTCTGTGCTATTGATAAATTTGCAAAGTGGTACTAAATCATGCCAACGACAGTCTAAGCCTTCCGATATTTTATTTCGAGAAAGAGATATGCCGTTATTTAAAATTTTTGCCGTCGAGCCGCATTAAAACAGATGAAACGTGTTTTCTCATGCAGGGTCAAAAAATGTACTATCACAGGATAATAATAGAAGAACCTCAGGGTCAAGCAGCAACGGTAGCAGCAGCAGCAGCAGCAACAGCAGCAACAGCAGCAGAAGGCTACGGATCGAAACACACCATTACGGCCAAGTGTAGCATTACCGAAGTGGTCGTTCAACAGCCAAATGCCGTCGTGGCAACGAATCACACAGTCTTCACGAGGAGCGTCTTACCGGAAGACTTCGAAGCCGACGCGTGAGTCATCATAGCTTTTAAAATATCCTTCTTTCTCTTTCTCTCTCTCTCTCTCTCTCTCTCTCTCTCTCTCTCTCTCTCTCTCTCTCTTTCTCCTTTCCTCGCCTGACTCTAGCCTCGCGCATTTGCATACGCGCATCCGATTCTCATACGTCATCGTGCTGCTACTCAGCCAAACCAACGCCTTTGTCTTTCAAAAGAGAGAAACAGTTTAACGAATATTAAGCTTATTAAAGAGCAATGAGAATGCGATCAACAACCGAATTATCACGCCGTCCATCGCGATACATCACGCGATACACTATTTTTATTTACACAATCGTTTAAAATCTTTTCAAGAGTTTCCGGATGCGAGTACTTAGTTAGAGCTGTGTTATTACAAAGATAAAAAAGAGTCGGCAACGTATAATATGAACCACTTAGAAAACTATACTTTACATTTTTCAGTCGATAAACTGCCAAGTAGCATTTTATATGATATTCTCTTCTATTAAAATAGGTTGTCAACAAATAAATAGAATCGTCAACATCGAGAACAAATCTACTTTTAATTCTGATGAACATTAAAAGCGCAATAAATACCAAAGATATGTCTGTAATCGTTAGGTCGGTAAGTTCAGTTAACGTCTCGTAACTTCCTCTCTGCCTTTCCATTCCAATTTAACAGAATAATTTATAAGATTGCTGATAGTAAACTCGAAATCGCAACTGATGATATCCTCGGAGTAATAACAGCGATTGGAAGCGCATTTCTAATGTTAACTTTTTTTTTTGGTTCAAATCAATCCCCTTCGTGGTAGCTCGTAACTTCTAAACCCTTTGAATATAACGATGGGGCAATTTAAGGTTCGCGCGTAAAATGCCTATAATTAATTGCGCCTATTCAGCTATAACGCTACGACGCGCGTGTAAGAGCTTGAAAAGAGTCGCCGAATCGCGACGGCCAAGTAATAACAAGCCATCCCGTAAGGTCGATCCTGAGACACGAGAAACGGTATGCGCGCTCAAGTAAACAGTCGAGTGAGTTCGCGGGGCTGGAACGAAAGAAAACAATCTTGAGAGAGAGAGGGAGAGGCAATGATTAGAAACGGATCCTCTCGCGTTAAAGTAGACATTAGTAGAAGAGTGGAAAGAGAGGTGGGTACGTAAGCGGCCACCGCGATGTATCTTTCGCTCCCTGCAATCACTTGGCAAGCGGCAACCCGGAAGTACCGCGGAACCGAATCACCGCGGCGCGCATCATCTCAGCCGAGCGCACATAATCGCGTGCGTTCGCGCGGTGTGATATTCGCTCGCCAAGCTAACGAGAGAGAGAGAGAGAGAGAGAGAGAAAAGGGTGGCTAGAGAGCGCACGGCGGACGACTCGCGGCCGCGGAATGCTTTACGCCGGAGAAGAGCCCGAGTAGCGACTTGACACTTTTACGAGTTGACCTTGGGCAAGAGAGGATGATGGCTCTCCGGTGGAGGAGAGCATCGGAAGCCGCTTTTTACCGATGCCAGGGGTCGAGGTTATCGCTTTTCTCTTCTTCTTTTCGAGTATCGCCACGATTTCGCACCGAGTGCGGAGTTGACTATTTCGTCATTTTCGCGAAAAATATGTCACGGTAGACGCCAGGAATAAACCGTATTACAGGTAGATAAATAAATACCGGTGGAAAAAGAAATACCATTGCGCATTTCGCAATGATGTATTAGCATTCCACGGACGAATCTTTCATTCTTGTATATGGCCTTACGGCTTCCTATTACGCTTTAGAAGTAAGAAAGCTCAGGCGAATTATCGTCTTAGGCTTATACGTCACTGGAACACACGTAGCTCATGAGCCAAGAAAGGAAAAGCAAAAAAATCACTGCGCTCCGCGCCATCGCACTGCTATTGCTTTCTTTCGTTCATTCATTTGTCCTATTCGGGCTGATTGGCTTAACGGGCGCTGGTGTACGTGTAAGAGTTCACGTGAAGCGATTCAGTTCGCTGGTAAAAAGTCTACTCCACTCGATTGCTCGTTATCTCGCACGCATAATTTCCAAAATTAATCTCTGCGTCTTGGCTTCGTTTCTTTCGAGAACATAATTTCCGTTGATATTAAACAGTTATCGAAGATCAGAAAGTCAGCAATTGGCCTTCGACAAATTAAACGTGAGATCAGTCAACAACTTTTAATTTCATAAATAATCACTTGACCAGCACGTCCGCGCCACAATGGGGAGGGGGGGAGATAAAGGGAAATATAAGAAAAGAGAGAGAGAGAGGGAGGGAGAATCCTTAGCGCGTTTTCTTCTTGAGATACCTAGGGAGGAAGGTCGTTACGCACGGGATCTCGCTTTAACGAGCAGAAGCAGCAGCAGCAGCACACGTACACCTAGCTCTGTTTTCTCAACGAGGGAATAAAAGAAAGAGGGAGAGAGAGACGAGTAGTAGGTCTGAAAGTGGAGCTGCCAAGTTCTTCTTTACGGAGTTCGAGCGGCGGCGGCATTAGTCGGCTGCCACTCGGATATGCATTTAATTAATTGGAATATATAGGAGCCTCCACTGCCGCCTCTGCCACCGCCGTCGCCGCCGCCCCATGGCCGCGACGCGAACTGCTTTGTTTCCGCGTTGACTTGCCAAAGTGGGCCTTCTGTGATTTTCCACCGTAATTGCTGCCGATATCCGCTTCTTTTCTTCATCCGTTTAAAAATATTGGCTTCGCACGGTCGACACACTGTAGACTTTCTCGCCGAGCCTCCCGGGACTATAGCAGCTCCGAAGATGTACGTCCACCTAGCAATGACTCTCGGACGGAGTTTGAGAATCTTGCGCGTAAATCACGAGCAATTTTCCCAACCTAATTGTGCTTCGTAGCCGATGTGGTGCAAGAGTAAAAGGTCCCGCGGGCGGCGCTGCGCCTCGTTGCGCCGGCCTAATATGGAGCAAAAGCGTAACCGATTATGGCACGATCAAGTATAGACCGTGCACCTGCTAAAGGTGCAAGCTCGGGGGAGCCGCTGCAAAAGTTACTTTACGACCCGTCGTATGAAACTTGTACGACACTTACGCGCGATACGCGTTCTTACGACTATCCAGCTTGTGCATCAAGCTCAAAGCCGATTAATCGTGAACTCGCGCGAATTTCCAATGGCTGATCCGATTATGCGAAGGGCACGCTGCGCAGCAGGAGAAGAAACGCAAGCCGAGGCGGAAATTCGCAGTCGTGCGCTCGGAATTTATTCGAAAGCATTGTTATACACGGAGGTGTATCATGCGAACACCAGATCCGTCGTCGTAGGATAGAAACCAGGCCCGGAAAATGATGGCGCGCGACGCCTTGACAGCCTGTTGCGTCCGCCGACTGGCAAGACAAACGGAAGCTGCCCGTCTTTGCTTCTTTTTATCTAATGTAATATAACGCTCTCGAAGACGAACTCGTCCGCGACGCTGCTTTCGAGCCAACGTATTTCGCCCGATACACTCTACGTACTCGAAATGTCGGCAAGACGCAAAAAGAGTAAGCGCACTTGATAATGATTACGAGATCTTATCGTTTCCCCAAGCGTGTAACGTCCGCAACGTAGCCATACGACTACCGCGTGAATGCGCTCGCAGAGGACAACCAAATTGACGTAAATGTGATGCGGCGCTGGTGAGTTGACGCTGTACAAAACGGAGGCGCGCGCGCACCTATACGACCGTATAAACATCACAGCGGCGACGGCGGCGGCGGCGCACTCATTAGAATACGGCCGGCGATCGCGATTCTAAATCTGCCGCTTACACACATACACATACACACACACACACGTAAGATGGGGAGGGCGAGCGCCGTAGAGCAGATTTCCCTCTCGAGATAAGCGTCTCCTCACGGCGCAGTGTAGTGTGCACGCGCCGAGGGTTATATTAACTTCGCGGAGGAGATAACGGAGCCGATACGGAGGCTGACGCTGGAGCCCCTCTAATAGGGCGCGTGCGCACGCGCGCAAGCTCATCCACGCGCGCTGCCGCTCTCGCAGCGTTTGGCGTCAGAGAGGGGCGTTGGCTTGTTTATTGAACGATCTCTCGTGGGGAAAACGGAATCTTTGATCGGCGCACTTTGGCTCGCCGCGGGGTAAGGCCGGGGGCTGAGAAAGCGCGACGAATCATTGAACCCACCAATTTATTGCGTCTCGCGGCGCAACGCGTCGGTTTCTCTGGCGCGCACGCCAGCCAATCCAAGCCTCGGCCGTCCGGCGGGAAGATCGACGAGGATGTTGATCCGTGTTTCACTTTGCGCGCCGCAATTTGGCGTCGTTGCAGAGCCAAGCAAACCGGCACGACGACAAAACGTTAAGCTGACCCCCCCCCCCCCCCCGGCGAGGCCAGTCGCACAATATGTTTCGCCCGAGCGCTATTAATCCGCGCGCGCGATCTACACTTACGATTCAGCATTTCCATACAACCGGCCTATAGGATATATAATAATTCTTGTTAGGCAGAGAGGCCAAGTTACACGCGCGCGCGCGAGCGGAGGCCGCGAGAGAGAGAGAGGTGAACAATCGAGAGCGAGGATCGTTAGCAATGCATCAGATATACAGATAAACCAACAGGAGAGCGGCGACGATCGAATTCAACACGTGAGCGAACGAACGATGCGTGATGTGTACCTCGCATAAAATATCCAGCGCAAAAGCAGATTAGAGAACAGACGATATCGAGCTCAGCGGGAGTCCTGCCCCGTATAGTCTCTGATCAAAGCCGCATGCACCCGACCTGTTCTCTGATATGCTTTCAACCATTATGTTATACCCTTTCTCTTTCGTTCTTTCTTACGGAGCGCCTTGTTGCACGGCCCGGTGTCCTTGCGCTATCGTCGCGACTCGTAGCTTTTTCCTTGGGACGACTCGTCTGCCGTCCTCTACGCTGGGATAATTCTAATGATCGACCTGGGTGTTGTTGCCGCTGAAAATGCGATTGCTCGATATAAGGAAGATCTACAAATGACACTTTTCCGTGCACGAATTCCACTCGAAGAAAGCAGTGGTCATTGCAGAGTTCACGATTAAAATTCGATTATTACCATCGAATTGACCGAGGCCCGAGCGACAGATTTAATAATAAGACAATCGAGACGCTCTCTCGCTTTTCTTTCGCGTGATGAACGGTCCCGGGCGGGAATATCTAACACGAGCTTGTCTTGCAGATGTAACTTGCGCATCCATTCATTAGGCATGCGCTTGCCGCGACAAATGGAAATGCCAATCGGATGTGTTACATCCCTCTGGCCGGCCGGAAATTTGTTTCCCGAATGCCCCTCTCTCTCTCTCTCTCTCTCTCTCTCTCTTACCGCGCGACTACTTTACGAGCAGCAGCGCTCTTTATATATTCCCCCCCCCCCCCACCCCCCGGAGAATGCACAGCAACGCAGCTTTGTTCATGCACAACGTGCCGAGGCTGTATTTCGCAAAGGTTACCAAGGTACACACGCACATCCGCCAATGGTTTCGCGCGCAATTAAAGCGATCTGTTTGCCGGCGCTCCGTTTCGATTTGAAAATGCGCATGTGTACGGGGTCGCGCGCGAATTATCGCGGCGAGCGACGCGGATAATTCCGCTCTCTCGGCGAAGGAAACGCTGTTTTAAACGAGCCGAGCGATGATTTGCGAGAGGTTGTATTAGAGGCTTTTATCAGCTGCTTATATACCTCTGCTCTCCGCACGCGCGCGCGCGCGCGCTCTCGCTCTCAAGGCTACGGGGTAACGGCTGATTTTGCTATCGAAGCGCCGCGGCCGTTTCATCGATGCGCTGCGTGTCGAGGCTGTACCCGTGCACGTTGTTTCGCTTCTTCGATACCTGTACCTATTCCTTAACGCTGCTGACGACACTGCGCTTTTTTTTTTCTTTTTCTTTTCGAAAGTAATATCAGCTGCATTCTCGTTTCAAGACCGTCTTCCGCGAATTGCAATACTCGCGCTGTTGTCGGAATGTACAAAACCAGTTCGTACAAGCGTTGTTAAGAATAAAAAAATATTGCGTGGCTCTGCCCTCGTCTTTGCATACCCGCGACCTAATGAAACTGCTTAGTCAAATTTACAGTGTAATAAAAATCTGTTGTGGATATTATGACGAAAGTATTTAATTGCATTTTAGAAATACGCAAGTGGCTGGTGGTGTCGTGCAGACGGCAGCGACACCAATTGTACTGTTCAACGTGAGGCAAGGCAATAAAATCATCAAAGACGAATTAGTTGTCAAGCCTGGAACGCCACTGCAGATGGAAATATATCTGGACGAGGAAGCAGCCAAGGTTTATGGGATTCTTGTGACTCACATGCAGGTTACTGACACCCATAGCCAAGAGGAGACCATCATTTACAATGGGTAATTTTCACATTTTAAAATTGCATTTCCTACAATCCTCGTTTTATTATGCTATATTGTGAGCATGTGTTCTCTTAAACGTTCGTCATACGGAACAGCGAACGATCAAGTAGTCCGATATTGTAAATATTAATGCGACTTTTACTTTCAGATGTTCGGTAGATCCGTACTTGTTCGAAAACTTCGAGACGGTGAACGGACACTACTTATCCGCCAAGTTCCGCGCCTTCAAGTTCCCGGAGAGCAGCTACGTGCAGTTTCATGGTACCGTTAGCGTTTGTGTGGGCAAATGTCGCGGGGTAAGTCAATCCCCCTCGGCGTCGAGGTATACGCTCGCGCGTGCTACAACGACACGTTTCAAACCTGAACATCGTTCGTGTTGACCTTACGTAAACGCCTGATTCTTTATCCGAGCTTCTCATTCCCGACTTCCATTCTCGATGGGCATGAAGCAACGTCTTTTTTCAATGTTTACACTTTATATTTGCAGATTGAATGCAGTAACGGTAGGATCGGTTACGGCAGGAAAAGGCGATCTGTGGAAGCACAACACGACGTAAAAAATGAAATTTACGAAACGGCCGTTGTTATTTTTATGAAGGTAGAATCCGACGATTTGACCGACGAAGGTAAATAGCAAGAATTTACTTAATAAAAAAATGCATGCAATTAATTGCACCATCAATTGAATAAATAAAACAACAGTCAATTGAATATTCCAAACAACCTAATTGGTCTAATTCAAAGAATTAAAGGGAGATTTAATTTCTTTAGTTAATAGTCTAGGCATTCTATTGCACTGGTGCGAGAACGATATAACGCTTAATAACCATGCAACATTTTTTTTGTTTTTATACGTCATTCCTCAGAAATATCTAAATTCATTCGCAAAGGAAAAACGCGCGAGAGATTGGTGAGAGCCGAGGATGCTGGAGACCATTTCAAGTACAATACCATAGCCGCAGTGTCGGACGCTTCGACGAGCAGCAGCAGCATCTTCGTCTGCATCATCTTCGCTTTTCTATGCATCGACAGGATCCTGTAAAATTTATCGCACTTGTTATAATCTTCAAGCGACGATGGTCTTAATAGTGTAGTGGATGTAAGACGTTTTTCTTGTTCATTTACACGGCGTCACTCTGAGCTTTGTGAACAGAGATTAGTTTTCAACTCGTAAACTTCTTAAGCATATGATTGATGAAGCGAAATTTGCATGTAACCCTGAAAAACCGTCTTGCATCTAAAACCACTCATGTGATACTAAAGTAAAAGAGAGACAAACAAACAAACAAACAAACAAAAAGAAGAAGAGGAACGAAGAGAGCAACAAAGGAAATGGTGAATTTGAGAGAAGAAAGAAAAAGTACATAAACGAACGATAGACTGTGGAGAAGGCGAAGGATATAAAATTGCAGCAATCAAATGGCCAAGCGTCGAGGAAAATGTGTAACGTACTTAAGTGTGAGCGTGCGCGCGCGTCGGCCAACGGAACTTCGTTTCGCGGAGAGGCGGCGTTTATCAACATCAAGTTGGACGACGACGCCGCGACTTAGCTTCCGAGATTTCTCCGCTGTGCAACTACTGAATCGTTGACACCCATTCGTTATTCCGCGCTGTCTCTCTCTCTCTCTCTCTCTCTGTCTCTCTCTCTCTCTCCTCTCTTTATCCCATTATATCCTTTTGCACTCCCACCTCCCTTTACCTTTCCGCCTTGTTTTTTGTTCGCCACGAATGAAAATGGGCTGCTTGTTTTTCGCCAAGCACAGGTGAACAATGCTTTATTATTAAATTCAAATGATAATAAAAAATTTCTTGGGTCATTATGGGTTCCTTTTCATTTCACGCAAGAATTCAGTTTTTGCAAGTGGAGAACATGTAATGGAAGCACCTAGTCGTATGACGACGTAACAATTATTATTTTTCGATACTCCGTGCGCAAAGTGCATCTTTCCCGCACGCTCGGCAGAAAACGTGCGTTGAAAATCGCATTTTCTACACGTCGTATCAAAAAATACGGTACGGCACATGTTCGGGAAAGCGTTTCTCGTCTCGTGTACCTTTCCACTCTCGCTTCGCTCGGGCGTAAACGCCACACGAGACAAGAATTTACTTACCCGCACTTGTATCGTAATGTACTAAATTCAGCTTGTATCGCCTAGTTACATTAATTTAATAAGTACCTTTTTACTGACAAATGGTCATAAAATACTTAAAGCTATTGATCTAATTAAATAATTGCCTTATTAATTCTTCTTTTTTATATACACCTAAACTACGAATTGTGCGATAGGATACCGGTAGTCTGCGAAAAATCAATAAAATTCTTATTAATAACTGTGTACGTAAAACTGAGCAACGTCAATTTTCATATCTATTGTACAACACTAACATGTCAAGTATTTTTGTTGTAATAACAATAATATGTTAAATTATTATGTTTAAGCAATCTTAGTCCATTGTGTACTTGTACATTTAGTGAAATTTTAAACGATTTTAGCTAGATCCGTATCATGTTCTAATGATTGTATGAGATAGACAGAAGAAAACATGAACAGATTGTATAAACACTATAATGATACCCGCATTTTCTTCTATTTCTGTGTAATAAAAACTCCATAATAATATAATAATTACAATAATTTCTCAACATGTTATAGCATGTCATATTTTAATTTTAGTTCCTACTGTTAAGACGTAAAAAAAACTAATTCATTTTGTAAACGTTGAAAATCGAAGAAAATTCAAGTAATAAAGAGTCGAAAGTTGATCATGCTTTGATATACGAACAAATGTCGTATATAATTACAATATTTATACTTTCAATAATTATTATTTCGTTCTATATATGGTAAAAATGTAATAAAATACATAATAACAGGACTTTAAAAATATTTTATTTCATCACACTTACATATATCAATACAATAAAAAATTGATTCAAATTAACTCGTTAAGTGCTAGTCTAAAACTGGACCAGATAGCATCATTAATATACTACTCATAAGCAAATGGAAAAAATTACCCGTATATTTTATCTTGTCATTTGCAATCGTTCGTAATAAATTATTTAAGTAAATTATGACAAAAGTTGTTATCTTAAAAATCTAAGTATGCTGATCGATTTTACGGAAAACTTATATAATATTTGTTTGTCGAAGTTGAATTTGTTAGCGTGAAACCATTATAAACAATCGCATGATGGAAAGTATAGATGTCGAGACGAAATTCCAAGCAAACTTAACTTTGATAAAAAAAATATTACAAAGGTTTTCTTAATAATTTTTCCTGTAAAATTGATTAGCAAACTCAGATTTAAATAATAACAAATTTTGTCAGAATAGGCTTAAATAAGTTTTTATCAACAATTATAAATAATAAAAGAAAAAAATCGATTGTTGTTTTAATTTACTTGTGAATGGTATAGTTGGTTTCATACTATTTGGCCCAGTATTGACTTGTGCCTTAATGAATTGAATAAAAATTATACAACACTTATATATGCTTATTTCAAATAATTAACAGTGATTGCACTTACACATGGAATGTTCAGCCACACAAAGTATAAAAATAAAAACTATGTAACAAATCACTTAATGTCGATCAACATTATTGAACATAGTTTACATTCGAAAAATTCCAAATTTGCTATATGGAATCGGAGCATTCAATGCTGCTGATAAGCTGAGAGCAACAACAGTTCTTGTATCTAGTGGATCAATTACTCCGTCGTCCCACAAGCTACAAAAAATAAGGTTATTCTAACTATTTTTATTTAAATATGTAATGAATGATAAGTTTCTATATTTTACCGAGCACTTGAGTAATAAGGACTGCTTTCGCCTTCAATACGTTTGATTATTGGATCTTTTAAGTTATTTTCTTCTTCTTGAGTCCACTACAATCAAACATATATCATAAATATCATTCCACTGAAAATAAAACGAATATTTTCAAAAAATGTAATCACCTCTTTTCCCTCTCGTTTGCGCTGATCTCTTGTAATTTGAGCCATAACACCTGCTGCTTGTTCGCCACCCATGACAGATATTTTGGCGTTTGGCCACATATACAAAAATCTAGGCGAATATGCCCTTCCGCACATTCCTAATTAGTATCGGCAAAAGTATTATTAATAATAATTTTGAAATATTCATAAAATTTCTTATGGGGATTTTGTGCAAGGTGAAAGCACGCACATAGCTAAGAAAAGTTAAGTATGAAAGTTGCATAAATTACCATAATTTCCAGCTCCGTGAGATCCGCCAATAATGACAGTGATTTTGGGTACTTGAGCGCAGGAAACTGCATTCACCATCTTTGCCCCGTTTTTCGCAATACCTCCAGCTTCTGCTTCTTTCCCTACCATAAATCCTGTTCCAAAGATAATATATTTATTATAAATATTCGATAACGTAACTATATAGAATTTCTAACTTAAATATATTCAGTTAGAACAATCGGTAACACGCTAAAGCATGCAGTCTATATGAATAGTAGGGATTCAAATTCACATTTAATTTTAGCAGTAAAAATAAAGCTACCAAACAAAGATATTAAATCAAGAATGTGCGCATTAATCAAGCAAACATCTAATTTAAAAGGACCTCCATATGGATCAAAAATACAAATCAAGACACAATCATTAAAATAAAAAATTAATCATATTCACTTGATGAGATCTTTTTACGAAACCTTGTCCAGCTATTAAAGGAAGAAGAACACATTTAATATATTAATTGAAATGAATGATATTATAAATAGATTCACTATTCGAAGAAAATCACCAGAACAAGTTGCAGAGCTCAAATAAGTATCCAGTGTATTTTCCGATATTGATCCCAACATTGTGAGCATTAATAAATTAACTCCAAATGCTCACCAGTAATGTTCTGCAGAAAGAGCAAAGGTGTCTTTCTCTGAGCACACATCTGAATGAAGTGTGCACCTTTCAAGGCTGATTCAGAGAAGAGGACACCATTGTTGGCAACGATACCCACAGGATAGCCGTGGATTCTGGCGAAACCAGTCACCAATGTATCTCCATATCGTGCTTTAAATTCTTGAAAGGCCGATCCATCGATAATTCTGGCTATAACTTCTCGAACGTCAAATGAACGTTTCAAATTTGCTCCAACGATTCCGTAAAGTTCGTCTACTGCATGTTTAGGAATTTTGTAATCACAATCGATTGTTACGTCCACTTTGCGCTGCCGATTCAGGTTGGACACGATTTGGCGTGTTAAATGTAGTGCATGTGTATCGTCAAGGGCAAAGTAGTCCGCTACACCAGATTTTCTGAAAAGTTGGATATATAAACGTATATTATGAAACCATTGAAATAAAATTTCTAAATTTACAAAAAAATATTTTTCTATTACATTTTTTGTATTACATATTTTGTATTACATACTTGACTGCAAAACTTTACCGTAATTTTTTGCCCAAAAATAGAATAAATTGTCAATTCCTTCACGACAAAAAAAAGAAATATAATAACGCTTATTTAGAATCTGACATTTTTCATAATAGCATCAACTAAAAAATTTTTACCAAATGGCTAATTCAATTTGATTACCAAGCATAATTTACTAGTAGCTTTTTCATGAGAAACAAGTTCGAACAAAAGAGCTAAACTCACTCGCAGTGTAGAGCTGCGCCACCCAACTCTTCGGCGGTCACTTCTTCACCGGTTGATGCTTTGACTAAAGGTGGCCCAGCCAAGAAAATGGTGCCTTGATTACGGACTATCACACTTTCGTCAGCCATCGCAGGCACATAGGCACCCCCTACAATGTAAAAGAAGAAAATTAAGTCGCTATAAAACATATTTTAGATAATAATGTCCGACATACTTCAAACAATAATACTATTCAGAAAAATATTCAGCCAGGAAAAAGTTATACAAATTCAATTACTCTTGAGAATTTGTTGTATGAAAGACAGAGATATACCTGCTGTGCAGCTTCCCAATACGACGGCAATCTGTGGAATCCCTTGTGCACTCATGTTTGCTTGATTATAAAATGTTCGTCCAAAATGCATCTTGTCAGGAAAAACTTCGGCCTGCCTTGGTAGATTGGCTCCACCGCTGTCCACTAGGTAAATACATGGTAACCTATTTTCTTGTGCTATTTCTTGAGCTCTCAGCTGCTTTTTAACGGTGATTGGATAATATGATCCGCCCTTTACTGTTGCGTCATTCGCTAAAATAACGCATTCAGTCCTGTAATTAATGTCGATTTCATTGTTTTTCTTCACAATTAATATTATTAGGTTTTATAATTTTTAATTGCATTATGCAAATTACCCTTGGACTCGACCAATTCCAGTTATTATACCACCTGCTGGAACTTGTTCTTCTGCGTACAATTCATATCCGGCGAGTTGAGAAAATTCTAAAAATGGCGATCCTTCATCAAGAAGAGCGTTAATACGATCTCTCGGTAGAAGCTTTCCTTTGCTGATATGTCTTTCTCTAGCTTTCTTTCCTCCGCCTTCAAGTATTTTATTAACGTTTAATTTTAATTCATCGACTAGAGTTTTCATTTGTACATAGTTTTCCTGAAATACATATCAACTATAAATAGTGGCCTGCTTCATTTCGAAAACTATCATTTACTGTGGATAGTTTTAAAATGAAAAGAACTTTGAAAGGAATGTCATTTTATGCTTTACATGTAGACTAAGCTTATTGTATGACCGTACAAAATGAATATTTATTTTGAAATTTGTTATTAACACTAATAATTATAAGTCAAGAATATGATAAATTATAACAATTTTTCATTCAAAATTATATTTCCATTCACACGTAGCTTTTGAATTTCTTTCACATAAAATTCAAGCTGTTAATTTAATGAGTGATGAATTTATATAAAGCTTATGAATATCCATGTTACAATATCGGATTGTACGTATACTTTGTGTTATCGACAAATAGCATTTTACACACGTTTCGATGTAATTTTATTGTTGAAAGGCTGAAAACATATTATACACGGTTAATTATTATAGAATAGATTTCTTTGCGATGGCCTCGACAAATCGACAGAGGGTACATTCTCCACATTGCATGTATAATCGTTAGAAGAAGGGGCATGTAACGGGTAATAAAAAAGACGCGGTTCACCTCAGACACGTGGTAGGCTACAGTGTTATTTTTAAAATTAAATTGCAATTCGACTGTATCAAAGTGTAACAAAAACATAGAACAGCTTATTTAACAACCTCGATTAGAATTGTGTATAAAATTATGATAATGTCTCACGAGTAGAAATCAGTCTTAATGAACAAAAACAAAATAATCGACTTTGTGTAGTAGTAACGCGTTCATTAAAAAATAAATTAAAAAATAAAAATCTATATTGATCAATATAATGTTCATTCTTATTTAAGTATATGGTATGATTGCAGACAGTTATTTCAATACAGCCAGGCATATATATATACAGTTTCTCTAGAAAATAGTATGATAAAATTTGATTTATTGTATTATATATAAATTGGTGAACGATGGCTAAGGTAATCTAGTCATTAAAAATAGAAAATTGAGTTTTTTCCAAGACTTCGAGATTTTATAACTAAATGATTGTTCACGGGGATCACTTTAGCCATCACTTTGGTGTGATTGCGATACGAACACCGTGTTTAATTTTTCAACACAAATTGAGATCGAACATGTATAGCGTATTTTTAGAAATATGTTACCATTTTAGATTCGGTGACAAAATAAAAATTACTCAGATCGAGAGAAGTTCGATTTATTTAGCAGTCGTTCGTTAACTGATTAGAGGTTCGGGGCAAAATCAGTTTTGTCAGCTAAAACATTTAACAGAGTGTTAAAAGCTTTTTAAGAACAAGTTCAAAACAAAATTTTTTTATTCAAAACAAAATTTACATACATATTTTTTATTCAAATACATAACAAATATTATTAAAAATATAAATATTAAAAAGTTATTTGAAAAAATTTTATAAGTAAATTTAGTATAGAAGTTCGATAAATATTTTAACGAATGAAATAAATAAATTTATCAGTAAAGAGCATATTCTCTTGATCTTGTGAGATTAAAAATGTGTAATAAATTTAAATCATATGTTAAATTGACTCACCTGATATTCTGATGAATTGGTATTTTGTGTTGTACCAATAACAGAAGCCTCTTGATAGAAATTTCTTTTCACAACGTGTAAATGATTAAGCAGACGCCTACTTTTCCTCAACATTTTATCAAAATTTTCATTAATTTATAGTCAACAAAACTTAAATAAAAAAATTATAATATAACAAAAACAACTTGGCTTAACTACAATCATACAACATGTCGTATTGTTCGCTCTTATGTCGGCTGACTTACATCGATAAGTATAAATAGAAGTAGATATTCTTTATCAGAGAAATATACGTAGTCAACAGAAGAAATGAAAAGTAGTGCCATCTATGTTTGCAATAAAATAGCTACTATTGGGAAGACATCCAGTGAAACAAACTTTTAAAATTTTATTTGTGATTACAAAAGTTTGTCACTTACAAGCATAATTTAATAAATAAATCACCTTAAATTCGTAAAAAGTATTACTTTCAAAATATTCAAAATTTTCATAAAATAATGATGTTGGTATTTATTATTCAAAGTCCAATAAAGTTCTAATGTGAAAATAGACAAAGTTCCCTGTTGAAGCGTTTATATATAAAAGACGAATGAAAAATAATAGATAAAGGTAACTCGAGAACACTAACAGATATCTTTGTGATATTTTTATTTTCATATAGGTATACAATAATCTTTTGCGGGCAGCTCAATTTCCGTCAGCACTTACATTGTTCTTCCAGCCAGGAACGACATCTGGCGATTAATTAAAATTGATTGTTTTCTTTTTATAGAAACTATCAACGAAATGGCATTAATTTCATTAGATATAGTAGCACTTTTTATTTATATAATTTATTCTCTATAATTGAATCAGCCAGCGATCAATCACAATATTGTGAGAAAGTTTCATTTTACTTCAGCAAATAGCAATCATTTCATAAGTTTTCTTTTTATGATAAATTGGATATTTTTAAAGTTATAGTGTTATAGGCCTAGAAGAGAGTATATTTATAAGGTTTAGATTTATACTGTAGTATTATTGGTCAAAAGAAAGCTCTAAAACTCATCTAAATAATATCGAGTAACTATGTTTAAGCTTGTTTATTTTCTTTCTATTGATTAAGATATTAATCTTAAGTTTTGAAAAATATGCCTTTTTCAAGTATTATGTAATAATCATACAATGATGCAAAGAATCCCGTTTTAATAATTTATCTTCTATAATTATATAAGAATATTCGTAGGTGATAGTTTCTAATCCTTAAAATTACAGTGTTCGATCAAGAGTTCTGAAGATAAATACTTGATTTAATCGCTGGATAATTATTAGATAATATTTTTATTTGAGGAAATAAATCAGAAAAATTGTCTACTATACTTTTCCTTTTTTTCTTATTGTTATACTACAGCACCTTAACACTTTCTTCTTTTTTGAAACTTGGAACATTCGGCTTATCTGTGTATTAGTATATTATTGAATTACCTTCAGTTTTATTCTTTATTAATAATTTTGCCCTAATGTAATTATTTACATTTATATTTTTCTCACTGGATTACGCAGATTACATCATCTTATAAGTTTATGCTGTATCGAGCGCTAATAGCTCATTATAACATTGATACGGTATTTATTCAAAACTTCGAAAGAATTTAAAAATTATTGATGCGAATAGACTTTGGAAATAAATACTGAGGTACTAACTTTATATAGTGTAAAAAAGTTTATTGTGTGAGTGAAACGTATATATACGTTAGTTGTTTTGAAATTCTGCAAGTAGTACCTTTTATTCGGGAATTTAATAAGAAAATAGCAACTATGATTACAATGTACTCAATTGAGAAGCATACTTTAAAGTAGTTTTCATTATTATTAAATTTAAACAAGTTTAGTAAATAAAGCAATTGTTACGTGTGTATTTCACGTTATTTAATCTACCCCTATTTGTATATGGTATATAGGAGGTTTCTATTTTCTCATTATTTTCTCATTATATAATTCATTTCGAATATGTGTAAAATATCATTCTTAATACGTCAATGAAGTTAAACAATATTTTTAAATGCTCGCAAAATTTTAGATGAGCAATCGTATCTTAATTTCCATGAACATTGTACTTTATCATTTGATATTTTTGCGAGAACAATAAAAATTGGTCAATTATAATACAAGAAATGCATCAAATGCTCGTAAAGAATGTAAATATGTGTAGGAAATGTCTTGCCTTTCATTTCCTAATACGATTGTTTTACATTCTCCAGAGGTTGAATGTGCTTATTAAAGATTTTCCGTTGATTCTGTGTTTAGTACATTTATATAAGAAAGGAAAAATAACAAGCCCGAGCATAGCCACTAAGATTAGTCTGGTGTGAACGAATCTCTTGCCAACTAGAAATCCATTCAGAACAAATCAATCATCGATCCGTGGCCTTACAGCTCCTCCAGACAAATCCGAGATAAGGTCGTAGCCTGACGTCCATTCCAAGCGAGCACCTTATCTCCATGTCTCTCGCATTGACACAACAAAATGTAACGATTGAGCTCATCCAAAATTCAAAAGAAAATGTCAAATCGAAGAGAGTCCCACCACCGAGAAGGAGTCTCTTCGTGGTGACAAAGCATTACGCAAGAAAAACAGCTAGGATGCGATCTGACGTAGGTGAAAAGCGTCAGTGCTGCAATTGACCGGATAGTCTTTAGAGAAGGCTGGCCGGACCGACGAAGGCTGCCGGAGGAGCTTGTTGACCAGCAGGAGCAGCTCCACCTGGGGCTGGAGGTGGGCCCTGGGCCGGTGGACCTGGTGGTGGGTATTGATACATCGGCGGTTGAGGTGCATGCGTTTCTTCCGGCATCAATTTTCCTGTACAGCACATAAATAACACAACATTATTATGATTTTATTCTTCAATAGGTAGAAATTAGCAGTCATCTTGATTATTGTTTTTGAGGGATTGTAATAAATAGACATGTTGTTCATGAAATTGCAATCGTTACTTCATTCATTGATGAATAATTTTTAATATCAATTCAAAATTGACTTTTATCAATTTTTACGAACTCTAAATTCATTTTGGAGACTATTTAGTTGCCTCCCAAGTTACACATATTGACAACCGTAATCTGTCAGAATTTGCATCTTCTTCAATGCTCGAAGTAATTTATTGCCAAAGTATTGTAGTTATAAGCAGATTAAGAGATATAGATAGATAGTGTGGGTTCGGGTTATTTATCATACAAATAGTAGGTATATGATCGAATTAGTGCTTATTCTTTTATTTTCAATAACAAAACAGAAAAATATTGCCATAAAATAACATACATGTCGAGTTATTATTGTTAAAAAATTATCCCTTCAATATAAGAAAAAATGTTTATTTAGAACCCTATTGTCAGAGTTGCTATGGTCCGTAGTTCGTTTGCACATACAAATGTGTTATGTGTCTGTCTCAAACCTTTTTACTGGAAAATTTTGCAAACACCAACTTGGGTAATTGTTTCACATTTCAATTAAAAGAACTATAATATGACAAAATATGTGCATCTAATGATGAAATAAATATATAACTTTTGATATGAATGCCCTTGTCTTATTACTGAAAGTGTATTAATCGTGTTTTTTTTGGCGTTGGTTGTTGAGCTATAATATAAACTCAAATTTGTCATAAAAATTTAAATTTAAAAAAGCATGCATGAAAAAAATGATCATGCGATCAAGAAAAAATATTATTTCTTACCTAGATATCGATGAGTGTAAATAGTTGTTACTTATTTCTAGAGTTTCTCTTAAATTAATTTACAAATTGAGATCATCTCTACCACGAACGTATGCAATACTTCTATCTTTTTATATTTAATTTTTTATATTTTATTTTATCTAGATTCCGTTAAAAATCATATTTTAACTGCACGAAATTGAGTGGATTAATCATACTATTAAAGAAGCATGATTATTACATAAATATATATATATATATATATATATGTGTGTATCTTTATTCTTTGGAAGGAATTTTATGAAATTATACTGGAAATTGTAAGATTTTCTGATTTATTCCTTTCACATTGTTCCGCAATGTACATTTACTTAACATGTTCTTTCAATTTCATGAACATATTTATTGAACCGACAAATTTGGAACTCGTCCTTCATCGTCGATTTTTCGTAACAATAACATTTTCAGATCCAATATCCTTGCATACAAATTTCATCAATTTCAAGCTCTATTATATTTAACTCAATTTTTCAAATTTTATCAGATAAGCTTGTCGCATTTTCGTCCATAGAATAGATTTAGTGAAAGTGAGTGAAATCTTCCTGCTCGCTTGAACGTTTATTTAGCATTTTTCTTTCTTTCAGGCAATGGCTCATTATTCTTAATAATAAGCGACCTATTAGATAATTTTCAATTGATAAAAGTAACCTTTAAAATTTGATTGATATACCACACTAAGAAGTACTTAAGAACTTGTCTTCAACACAGAAAATTATCTAATAAAACGCTTTTTCCATTCACTAGTGAGAGATTTTATTTATTTTATCAAGATTTATCATTACCGTAAATTTATATATAAGTATAATATTAACATGTATGTATAACATTGGTAGATTATTTTCAAAGTCTTACTTAAAGGGTCATACAATGATTCTTTTCGATATTATACATGCTTCGTTTCGTAGGATCGGTGATCACTTGTCAACGGATATTTGACGCGATCATCCACATTGCAACGAAGGAAAGCTAAAAATCTGTAGGTATTAATGAACTTAAGTAGGAATTTTGATAGCTAATCATTTTTAAATGAAAGAAGCAAAATACAACTGTCATCATTTACATGTGTATTTACTTTTGACATTACGCTATCTTTCGCTGCACATACTATTGCGTTATGCATAATAGAAGGTCTTATTATTTTCAATGCGTATAATGTATTTGATTTATTTAAATGTACATTCACAAAGAAAGATGAGTCGAACGTTTAGCATATATCAATTAATTCTAACGAATATGCTTAAAATGTTTTTAAGGTGAATTGCACGAACGAATTATGCATTTTATATACACACATACATACTTGCAACAAAATGCAGCGCCGATTCCTATTTGTCTCAACTTTTCTCTTATATTACTTTTCATCGATGACAATTAAAAAAATCCACAGTATTCGTATCTATAACAATATGTTCTCATTATATATTTGAAATTTTTCTTTTTAATATTACAGAGAATCCTAACACTTTATTGCACAATAGAACAATAGGTTTTGCAATCCTAACAACTGTATGTAATTCAATATAATTATGATACAAACAAAAATGTGTAGTTCTCACGTATTTCTCGTTTAATTCACCCATTTGAAATCGGTTCTCATTCAAGGTAGCGGTTCATGAATAATGCAAGAATATTAGTGTTAATAAAGATTGATAAAGAAAACATCGACTTTAGTGGCAGTTACACTATAGTTATTTTCGTGAAAAGAATCTTATTTATTCGAAAGTTTTGATAGATAGAATGAAATTTCAAAAATGTTATTGTGTACATTTACTGGGTAACTTTTTCAATAAATTCGTTAACACGCCCATCTTTTGTCAAATACATACCAATTTATAGTTACTGATTTATTTTAACTGAATTTTTTTCAGTATACTCAAAAACATGAGTTCATTGGTATATCAATACTCAAAATTAGTCGAAAGAATCGCGAAAATGGACGAGTTCACGAGAAACAATTAGAAAATGATAGAATAAGAATCGTTGTTTTTCATACATTTGTAAGTTACGAAAGCCCTTTTATTACAAGTTTGACAAAGAAATCGGCATTTTTTGGTACTTAAATAACAAAATTGAAATAATCTTGTCCTGATGCGTCTCTTGGCTACAGTTGTCTGATGTATTATTTGACAAATTTTGCTCTTTTCGTGTTTTCTTAAAAGGTGAGGAAGTCATACCTGGCTGACGCTCATTACTATAATCTTTTAGTACATTAATATTATTCTTTTAAGTATCTAACTATTTATATTCTGTACCGAAATTTTGTGCTCTTCAATATAACGTAAATAAAATCGATAAAATAATTCTTTTTTATTTTTACAATGAAATGCATAATTTTGAAAAATATACGAGTAACATAAATAACATATTCGTTATTTTCTAAAACATAAGTATATCCAGATATCACTTTCGCGCCTATTAATACTTTTCTTCTTTTTTTAATTTATCTATGATGCATCACTGCCTCCAGTAGTACTTGCTGAAAATAACGCATTATAGCGAATTTAAGAGATATAAAAATGCTGTTACACAAAATTTACTACGCGTATTCATCAAACATTATATTAATTGCATATAGGTACTCAAAAGCCTTGCTAATAAACGAAATGAAAGCATGCTCTTTTATACAATATATTTATATCGATTCAAATAATTTATCTATGGAAACGAATCACTAAAAAAAATAATCGAACGTGGGTGACTATTATATATAAAGTTGAAGTTGCTTCTACAGCAGTATATTTTTTCAATCAAAAAAATTAAATTTTAAAAAAGGACCAAATGCTTCATTCAGCATTTCAATTCTTTTCTGTAACTGCTGTATTATTTAAAAAATTTACAAATAATAGTTTAAATATTATTTAATGCTTATTGAAACATAATACAGCAAAAAAGCATATATGTAATGTACATATGTTGAAGCACACAACGCATGATATGTAATAAATGAACCATGCATATCTCACTAAGTGTCAAAGTCATGCATGTTTTAGTCTATCTACATATTGAAAACGCTCGAATAAATTATTACAAACAATAATGATACGTTAAAGAAATTTTTGTAATCGAAGATTGTCCCAGTACGTTAAAAGTGTATTTGTTGAAATTTTTTATATAACTTATGGTAAAAAATGTTGAATGCATAATTTTTATTCTACGATAAATTGTAGTATTAATAAAAACATGCCTTAAAATTCTGTAGGTCGAAAAAAGAAATAAAATAGAAATAGATTTTCTTTTTTTGACCCAACAAAACCACAATTTAAAAATTTGTTCTGAAATTGCAATTTATTTACGGAATTTCATAACGATCAAATTTGAATCGTATCGAAATGCATACATTTCAGCTCTGTAGCGCATAAATAGCTACTAATAATGCTTTATTGGATAAAATGAATGTAGTGGTGAAAGTTGTAAGATTTTATGATGGGTTTCAAAAGAAAAATAAAATAATTATGCAATTAAAAAAATTGTGAAGAAAGAAGAGAAAAGAAAATATTGAAGTATTGAGTAAAATCGGATATAGCTTACCGTATATAGAAGAGTACTTGAGAGTTGATAAATGAGAATTAGAGTAACAGATCGATAGGATAAAGAACTGACTGTTATATAAATAAAATTTCCTTTTCTGTCGTTTCATGACATAAAAACAGCCACTGTAGTGTATTGATTTTTGAATATCTGAATATTCGACCACATTTCACTTAGACTTTTTATTTTTTAAAAATCTTTTTTCAAACTTGTGAATAATTTAGGTCAAATAATTTCAAACATTCTTCGTCTGGGACTAACTTCGGAATACGGAATGGGAAGTTTGGTAGAAACAGACAGACACATAACAACATCATAGGCAGTATTACAAACGCAGCGTCATATTTTTCGTTGTATATATCAGTTTATCTGATCAATGTATTGGTTGATAGTATAAACATCTAAACTTGTTATATATACTATTTTGTGTGTTACATGTGAGTTATTTATAATAATCATTTAGCAAATTCGCAAAGAATATTTAATTTTTAGTCGGTCATTTTTATACAATAACGACTGAACAACTGCATTGTATAAAATTTGTTTGTGGTTTGTTAACTCGTTTTGAATTGTTGATATGTTTGGAATTAAGTTGTTTTTATATGTTGTTTTGTAAGTTTTAGCAGTATTGTTCGTGAAGTTCAAAGCTGTGAGGAAACAGCTCAGAAATTAAGAATTTGTTGAAAGTTGTACAATTTATAAGTACAAATTGTCGTAATTGTTATTATTCTGAAAGGTATTCGATTACCTTTCATGAAAATCCCCAATTCGAAAGGATCAAAAGAACCCGTAAGTACTGGAAATCTAAATTTTCTAAAACAATTTATACTCTAGAAAACATAAAATTTTACAAATAGTAATCATGCTTTTATCTAAATATTATTTTCAAACAACGCGTCAACAAATGGATAACCTACAGAAAAAATAAATTAAAACTCATAATTTCAAATAATATATACCAAAGTAAATTACAATTGTTTCCGAATTAGGGAATTTCTTTATAAAAGTAGTGTTTATAGACATGTTGAGACAGATAGCAACAGAGTTAACATCAGCAAATCTATGTATAAAATTGACAGAAATGAAAGAGGTATACATTGATTGAGTGAATTCTAAAAAAGGCTGTCCTTTAGAAAAAGAAATAGTTGTTTAACGAATTAAAAAAAATGTCGAAAGTCGTAATAAATAAAACGGTAATATATAACATTCATTTCAAGAGAATTTCAAATTACAGGTAAAGTAACAACCTACACAGCAAAAATAAAGACACAATTTCGCGTTTGCTACCTGACTCACTCATACACAAATTTCTTCCACCAATCAGCGCGCCTACATGAAGTTTGCTAAACGGAAAAAGAAATATAGAAGTTACTCTTCAAATTCATTATTTCAATTATTTTGCAACAATTATCATTGTTGCTATGATCAATACTGCGTTCATCACAAAATATGAATGTTATTTTGTTATATTCTCTGCAACTTATTTCCAACAAAAACCAAAAACTTTCGATTCAATTTGAATCAAAATTGTTGCTTGTAGTTTTATATAATTTATAATGAGTTTTTAATTGATTTCACAGCAATTGATTATTTATATATTACTTCGTTTAATACTTCTTTGGCTGTCAGTCAAAAAATTATTCTATGCATAATTAAGTATTTTAAGAATGTTATCAAATCACAGCTCATATTTTATTCTACATATATGCACGTTACTTTATATAAAGTTATAATTATGATACCAAGCACGAAGTGGCATATACAACGAATGTATAAATATATAAATCGAATTTGGCATACCCAAACATTAAGTCTGAACAACTTTCAATAAGCGTACATCACAGAAGCATTTAATAAGTTTAATAATCATTGAGTTGAACCATAAAAATTTAATTATAGAATATCTGAATATCTTAGCATAGACAATAAAAGTGAAAAGTTATTAATATTTTATTACAATTCGACCGCGAAAACAAAATCGCTCACTAAGCGACACAAGTTTAGTAATACAAATTATAGAGAAAAATTCGATCAGGACATGATAGTAACATGCTGGTAAGGATTCAAGTTTTTTCTAAATCGTCAACGTTGCATTATTTAAGATAAGTCGAGATGGGTAAAATTGACACCTGGGTATAATTTTCAAATGTCAGACTCGAGCATTGTCTGATTTGGTCAGTGATAAGTACGACGAGGTACATCGACGTATACATAACATTGAACTCGCGACACTGAACAATTATGTGACCAATATTTTTCAAAGCAGTATAATTGCAGTAATTGTACTTACCAACAACAATGGCAAGGATAATTAATCCGATAACACCCATGATTATCATCATCTGGAATTGATAAAAAATATCGTTCAGCAACACAGAACTACTAAGTAGAATACAAAAATGAATGCGTTTCAAAATAAAGTCATCGTTGTCTATATTAAAATGTTCCACAAATTTTCATAAAATTCTACTAAACTTCGCAATGTAGATTTTCTGCACACAATAAATAAGTGTATCTAAATATGAAATGTAAAAAATGTTAAATAAATAATACAAAAATTACCTTCAAATTTTGTAGCCAGAACTTTCTTTTTAATTTTCCAGCTTGCTGTTCGAATTGTGACGCACCTTGTTGAAGAGCATCTGCGAAAAGAGCCACGAACTTGGTTAAGCAAATACGCGAGGCGAATTCTTTTAGTGAAAGAGACATTTTTGCTTGGTGAGTGGGATTATCAAATTGGAACGCACGGAAATTGCAGAGAGTACAGTACTCGCAACGGGCACGTAAGCGTGAGCAAAGCGAGAAATCATTTGCGTGGCTATAATTTGCCCCGAAACGTATTGCGGCAAAGCAAAGGGAAAGTTCAACGCGATAGTGCATATTGATTAACGCGTCGACGAAACGAACGGCCTTGCAGCCGGCTGGCCTGGCGCAATCGATGAAACTTCATTGATAATTAAATTGACAGCTTTAGCGTCGCATAGCACGTCCATACGCATATATGTGCTTAGAAACGTGGACGCTCACCTGCTCTATCGTCGAGTTCCGAGAGCTTTTGATCGCGCTCCAAGACCTTCTCGACGTTCGTCTTCATGATGTCGACGACCTCGTCGACTTGTGCTTGGGTCTGCTGTAGTCTTTTCTGGGCGGCGATTTGCTGGGGCGTTCGCGGCCCGCCAACGATCGCCCCATCGCCGCCCCCTGCTCCTGGCGCCGCATCAGCGCCTGTCCCCGGGGCTAAGCCACCCTCGGTAGCCCTGCAAACGTTTCCACCAATGTTTATCATTAGTTTTCCCGGTTGATATTCCCATCAATATTGTTTCTTCGGGAACTGCGCTCGTTTTTCATAGGCCCATTATGTATCTGTGCGGAATAGTCATGACAAGCGTCCTGACTGGACCTACAGTTCAATACATTCCATCTATTTTCATTTTCATCTTATTCGTAACATGAAAGCAACGGGTTTTCTTTATTTTATTTTCGTTTACTATTATTGGCCTGTAGGTTGAAATGTTACATCAAATTAATATCATAGCAATGTTTCAAACTTCAATGCAATTGCGACTTCGCGTAAAATAATATTTCAGAACGATATAAATTTCTCTGCAGCATGGGCGTCGCGTAATGCTTTAAAAGTTCAATTATGCTGGAGTCGTTACTTAGATTAAGATTCGTTAAAATTCCATTCATTGAAAATTATTACACATTTTTTTACACTGCCAGTAGAATATTAATGTGATTTCCTTGAACATTTTATTGAGGTAACGTATTTTCATACTCCATATGTAAAGGAAATTACAACATGAATCGGTAGAAATGCAACACATATCAATTTTTTGAAGTTATAGGATTCCGTTTCAGATAGAACACGATGGCGAATGCGGAAACTAATGTTATAGTAACAAGCCTCTTGTGTAAATTTATCTTTCGTCCACATATAACATGTCAACAGCTTGTATATAAACGTACCTTAGGGAGTTGGACTAAAATAATTAATAATATGTAACAGAATAAAATGGTATTTTTCCATTTATTGTACAAACATGAGCTCGCAATTCCTAATTAAATTTAGCCTCGAATGAACTCTTACTCTTCTTCTATCTCTCTGCGCAAAAATAACAACCCGGATGATGATTCATTAGTTTAGCGCTGTGAAATGCCAAAAGAATATGCGTAGAGGCGCGCGTAGAAGAAAAACCCTCAATTTTATGTAGTTCCGGATATTGTTATTTTATAAATGACATGAATGCGGGCACACAAGGAGAGATTAAACGAATACGTCGATTCAGAACATTAACAATGGCGGGTCATGTGCGAATTGTGTCGTCAGAGACGGTAAACTAGTATTCGCCTTTCATCAAATCTGCGACATTTTGAAAATGCTCGTGATGGGGAATGAATTATTTTTTAGATAGATATTGTACACAGCTGCTGCGTCAATCGTGTTTTCGCACACGGACAATCCCTGACTTTAATCTACCGAGTTCAATTTTCTAGTCGATAAAAGCCCAGCGCAAAGTTCGTCTCAAGTGCGTCATAACTATTCCGATGGATTCGTCGCTCGAAAACACTGCTCAGTCGAGTAATTTGTATTCAAGAGTTATTTCAACAATTTACATAAGACATGAAACGAAATGCTTGCTTCTTCATCGATTATTTAAATATAGAAAATGCGGGTAGGACACGTGTTTAGTATTCGTTTCAAAACCTATCCTCCTTCTTCGTTTCAACTTCAACTTGCGTACCTTATTCCGTATATATTCAATTTAATAATCAGCACGCTGTTGCCGTAATGTATGTCTCGCGCGCGAGATAATAATTGTAACTTAGCCGGTTGTCGATATTCTTTCAATTCTTTCTGCAGCAACAATGAGAATAGCACTGGCAGATCCTTTTAGTGGGCGTCAATAATAATCAGACTTTCAGTATTGATGTTTTCACTTCAATAATAGACAACTTGGATGATATCGCACAAGAAAACTGATCCAGCGCAGCTCGTTTTCACCGTTTCGAATTCATGCCGATATTTTTAAACGAGCTTCTAATCAAACATGTCTTGCGCTGTTGTCGCTAGAAAGAAAGCTGTTAATTATGTCGTTGCAAAAACTAATTCTAGATGACATTTGAAGAAATAAGTACACCGTCTCGTAACTAAAACTCATGAGTAGATGAAAATGAGTTTCGCAATTACCCTCTATCGAACAAGCAGTTATAATCATTCGGAATGCTCTACTTGAGCGACGCACAAATAGCACGAACGTCACGATAGATGACAAATCCAGTCGATATCAGCGTGGAGTTGGCGTTACATCTCTGGCCGTTATCAGTGAAAAAAACTCGCAGAGCGAACCTCAAACCACGTCGATTCGGCTCTCTCTCTCTCTCTCTCGACAATGCGATACGAGAGAAGAAGCTTTCGAGCAAATAAGATTGCTTTAATCGAAGCTCGTCCGCTCTCACTAAATTAACAAATAATAAGAGCAACAGCAGCAAACGATAATCCTCGGGCTGTCGTCATTGCAAGGATACAAGTGTTTTGTGCTTGCGCTTTATTGGTAATTCGCAGTGACGTGTTGCGGCGTGTCGACTGGTGTGTGTGTGCGTACGCGCGCGCGCACGTGTATATGTCTGGGAAGAGAAATCGATCGGGACGAGCGCAAAGCGAGCGACTGAAATTACGCCTCGAACGCACCCGTCGGCGTCTTCTCGTTGTGTCGCGTGCTATTCCTCTTCTCGACGCCTCGATTCCCGCCTTGCCTCCGCATTATTTCCTTTTTATTCCTCTTCTTGCTCCTCAAGCTTGCGCGCGCGTGTGTACTCGAGATTCGTTAAACGCTCGCACAGCCAACTTCCCCTCCTACCTACTCTCTATCGATCGACTACTCTCTCTCTCTCTCTCTCTCTCTCTCTCTCTCTCTCTCTCTCTCTCTCTCTCTCTCTCTCTCTCTCTCTCTCTCTCTCTCTCTGTGACCCTCGCTAGCTTTTTTATTTTTTAAATAAGAATCTTTCGATGTTTCTCCTTTTTCTTGCTCCCACAACGTGATCGTGCATAATTGTCGGCTTTACTCTTTTCATTAGCCATTGTCAACAACTAACGATGACAATTTCCGATTCTCACGTACGTGCCGATATAACTTTTACAGCATGCCGAACTATTATTCACGAAATTTCGGTTGGCGGACTTGAGCAATTATTTTTTATTTATTTTTTTTTCACTTCCAACTCACCGGGTTTTAAAGAACGACGTCTGCTGCTAGTGATAAGCCACGTTTAAAACCAAACACATCTAACATGTTGACCTTTATTCACATATTTTTTTTCCGGCCCGACAGCGTAACGAAAAAAGACGAAAAATCAATGATCCACCGTCGCGTACGCGTAGCAGCAAAGGTTCGCATTGCGATTTACCCAAAAGTCTGTCGCACATACGATGAGTAGTGCTTTGAGTAAATTATTCATTAAGCAAATTCTGTGTGTGTGTGTGTGTGTGTGTTGAAAAACGCACATCGCTGCCTACCGAGAAAGATGGCAATATAATCACGGCATACGTCAATCGAGGTAACGAGGGCGGCCCCGACATTCAACAAAACCCTCCTGGGTGCCGCAGTGTCAGCCAGCCAAAAGGAATTTTGTCTCACGAATAAGTAAAATTTGGCCTCGAAACATTGCGATAACAGCAGCAGCAGTAGCGAACAAGCAAGTACGTCGATAATCGGGCGAGAGGGAGAGAGAGAGAGAGAGAGAGAGAGAGAGAGATGAACTCACCCCACACTCGCCCGAGCTCGCTAGAAAAATGTCGTCGGCTACTCACATGCTGCAACGGGTTGCTGCCTCTCTCTCGTCTGTACTGCGCCGCTTTTCCTTTTTGTGTTATTTTGCTGCTGTTCCTCGTCCGCGCACTAAATCACTCGCGCGACGTTAAAAAAAAAGTAAGCGATTCGCGACGACGATTAACAAAAAAAAAAAAATTTGTTAGCCGCCGTCGGAACGAGCGGAGGATGATTCTGCCTGTTCGCGCGAGGACGAACGACAAGAGAGCTGTGCTGCTGCGCCGCTGCTGCTGTTGGTGGATGGCGAGAACGCGCGCGCAAGCACCACTTGCCAGACGCGTCAGGCAGTCAGGGCGCAAGCGTTCTTCTGCTTGCCGCCCTCCGCTGCCGCCGAGAGAGTCGATAAAGCGGCTCGCCCATCGCCGTACTCTACTGTCCCTCCCTCACAGGCTGCCGAGCAGAGCTTGCAATGCTTTTCCACCGATTTCAGAGTTCTCTTTCTCTCTCTCTCTCATTTTAAAGAACTTTGTCTTTTTCTAACGGTACCCATCATTCGATACACTCGTAGTTCGCTGGAAAAAAACTGCATCACGTAGTCGAATCAAAATGAGCTTCTGGTAAGAAAGCTCAAGGATGATCGCGGGCGTAGACGAAGCTTTAGAACGTCGTATTCTTTATCATTCGATCGTCAGCAGACCTACATCAGTGCGCCAGCGTAGAGGAGGGAGAGGCACCCCGCGTCCGCGGGCGTATCGTCACTAGAGACATACCCAACGTAACATGTGGGTACACTCACTCCAAGCATGTTTTATTCAGCATCGGATCTCTACTGTTTTGTTTTCGAGAAAGAGAGAGAGAGAAAGGCTAAGGCGAGAGATAGGCCAGTGCACCGTGATTTAGCTGTAGAAGCCGGTGTTTCTCTGTTTATCGCATTTACATGAAAATCGATCGCGAGAGCACGCAAAAAAAATGCACCACCACCGTGGATTTTCTGGGTCAACAGCGCGCGCTGCTGCATGCACGCCCCCGCGCGGAAATTCGATTTTCACACGCGCCCGCTTGATTCAATTTCCCCGACTGTATATTTCTTGTACTTTTCTTCTCTGGATCGCGTTACGTTGGTAATACGGAAGCTGTATAGATTGTGTAGACGAAGCGCGAGGCTTTATAATCCGCACGTGCACATTGACGATCGTAAAATGTGGGACGCGATAAAGCAAAAGTGCACTTGAAAGTGCTCTTCGAACGGTTTCTTTTTCTTTTTTTATGGGGTGCTATAATTTCTGGATGGAGCTCTTTTTATGCCCAGGGCTGTGCGAGAAAAAATATGTATTTGGTATTTATATGAACGTTCAACTGCCAAAAAAATCATTTTTCATTGCTGAATTCGTACATCGAATTATCGATATTAAGGATATTAGATTGGCGCTACGAATAAAATATTATTTTAATTTAATTTTTTTGTACTTTAAAAGATGTAAAAGATTTCTACAGTTAAGAGGGTTACTACATATAGAAGATATCGCACGTTGGACATCGGCCGTCAAGTGTGTACCATGGTGAAAGTATAAGATGATTAAAATTGTTGTTGCAAAAATAATGATAATACAACAAATCTATACTTTTTATCATTGCTCGCATTCTGCAAAATCATGAAGCACAAAGATCTTAAACATATGATCAATTTTGTCACCCCACTCGACGTCCATTATCACTCAATATAGAAAGCCCTTAATGATAATCTGAAGCCTGTACGGATTATTCGTAAAGAAATTATTGAAAACAATTCTATACAATCTATTTACATGAAAATATTTCACATAAAATCGATCAAATATTTTCACTCAGAATGCCTGATTCATTGCGAATTGTATCAAGTTAAAGTTATATTAAATTTTACGTGTTCAGGTATCTAAGTAAAACTTTGCAAAAATAATATGTTTATATATTAGCTCATGTAGCTGCAGAAGAAAAAAATACGCAACTAGAATACTAATCTGACTGTATAAAGATATTAGCCATTGATTGATTTTTATGCAAATCTGTTCGTAACTTTCTCCGCAACTCTGCTATTATGTTGTTTTATATTTTCTTGTGATTTTAATTGAATATAAAAAATTTGTTGTAACATTGTAAAACAAAAAATAAATTTATAGAGCTTTAAAAGTAATAAAATTGTATGTTAAATTTGTATGTTACATATATAATTGTATGTAAATTATATATTATATTATATGTTAAAATTATATTAACTTTATATGAATCATTTGTTATATATAATCAATAATGATCACACAGATATTAACTGGCAACTAAGAATAAGTAATTAATTATTTCATATATGATTAGTACAGAATTCAATGTAACGCGGCTATATATTAAATAATTATATTTTATTTCAAAATTTAACTTTGTTATACCTTTTCTGAATAGTTAACTATAAGGTGTAAGAGTGGTTTAATTATTTGATATTTACTTGAAAAATTAAAATAAATGTTGCACATGCTTATCAGACCACGCACAAATCTTTGATAAGATAATGACAAACAATCAATTTGTTTCTTTCCCTTAATATTCGTCTAATATCTGATGATTCTGATGTTTAACGGCTCTTATGCAGAAAGTCCGTAACTATTCAATTATTAGTTATAAACTTCAAAAACCTATCCATAGATGGCGATACTAATATTATCCAAATTTTTCGTTTATAAAATATATAGTTATATTTTCTTTAGTTGGGGTATTAATTAATAACTTACTTTTAAAAGTTATATATTGATTTGTCGAATGTGTGTATATACATATACTAACATGATATTTTTTCTTTCATTGTTGCTATGCAGAATTTAATTATTTTAATACAAGTGAGGTTTGAATATAAAGCCAAGCTAATGAAATCGATCTACTCATAATAAGCAAGTCGGAATATCGATTTAAAAACTGATTTGATAAATGAACAAAATTAATAATTATAATGACCGTGATCTCATTTTGGTAACGATGAAAGTTTGGAAAAAATGTGAGTACGTCTCCATCCTGTATAGTGCTGCCATCTACCAAATGTTAATGGAAACTATGATGTGTTATTGTTCGGAAACGATCGTATACCTATACCTAAACTTGTGTGCGTGGATACCTTGGATGACTCGTCATCGGTGAATCCTGAAAATAAACTCAGTTGATTACGCACAATTCCTTGGCATTCCTGTTCTTTTAATAAGAAACTTGACAATCGTAAGTATTTTGGCTGATTTATTGTTTGAATTGACCATTACGTTATTTAAATCAAAATTTCCGTAAGTAAAACCGTATAGAAGTTATTAAAAACGTTGGAACTCGATTCTAACAAGAAAATTTAATTGCGACAGTTATGAAAGTATATATAACATATTCATTACCAACAAGTGTTGATTTGTTCCGCGTGACAACTCAAGATACTTTTCTTGGATAAATACTTTCAGATATTTTATATTCTTTTTGATTCATATATCGGTAAAAATAAAATTGCATCATTGTATCTTTAAATTTTGAGGTTATGGGCGTGTACTTTTGAATTCGTCACCACAATTAACGGTTTCATCAAGATCTTTATAAGGCAAATTTCAATTTTATTTGAATTTTCATAAAAAATAAATCTGATAATTGTACTGCAGAGTATAAAAGTATAGCATGACCTTTATTACAAAGTTATCATTACAAAATTTTATAAATTTACTTAATAGATTTATAAAATTGAATATGTTATATGAGTAAACATTTATTTGATCCCTACAAAAATAAAACACTTACCATAACTCACCTATTATAATAACTATTATAATACATGTTATATTTATTTTGTAGAAGCTAATATTTAATAAATATATGAATTATATTTTTTTCTTAAAGATCAAAATGGATGGTAGTAGTTACTCTGGAGATGGAGATTTGGGAGCAAGGTCTAGTGGACAATCGTCCATTTCAAACAAGAAGCTTCAACAGACACAAGCTAAAGTTGACGAAGTTGTTGGAATCATGAAAGTTAATGTGGATAAAGTTTTAGAAAGGGATTCCAAATTGTCAGAACTTGACAATAGAGCTGATGCTTTGCAGATGGGTGCTGCTCAATTTGAACAACATGCACAAAAATTAAAGAGAAAATATTGGTGGAAAAACCTCAAAATGATGATTATAATTGGTGTGATTTGTGGCATTATTTTGATAATAATAATTGGTATGAAATCTTTTGTATATAATTATTCATAACTCATAGTTATATTGTTAATTTATTTAAAATATTTATTTCAGCTTCCGCATGGCCAAGCTCAAGTTCAGAAGAAAAACCATAATTAACTTCAGACTTACACTTAAGGAAAACTACAGGTTGGGTTTATGGTTCAAAATAAGACAATAAAATCGAATCACTATTACTTGACAATTGTTGGTAAATAAAAAAGCTCATATTTTTGAAACATATTTTCTAACAAGTTATATAAATGTTAGAGTAACCACAGTATTAAGTTACAGTGACCTTATGAGGAAAAATTTATATATATATTTATACAATGAAACGGTTATGTACCTATTGTCTGTGTGTAACCATAATCAAACGATCAATTATTCCTGTCGATTTACAAACCTCGACTAATTTTTGATGAATTTGTCGCATTTTTGAATACTTATATACACGTTGATGATATTTAATATATAGTATACTCTTTATATTTGTGGAAAAGATAAACAAATTAGTGTATTTTGTACTATATACATAAAAAACAAATTGAATGTATTACTAATTTTGTGTGTTAAAAAAAAGCAAGTTTTGAAAATTTAATTTAATCCTATGATTTGTAATATATTGCACAGAAATCCGATTTTGTGATAGACTACTTTTAATAAAAATATTTACAATAACATTTTCCATGTTGTATGTAAATTATCAAACCTATTCAAAGCAGCTGAAGGACTTGTCTCTTTCATTGGTTGTCTAGTTTCTTTGATAAATATTTATGACCTTATACATCATATCAAGTGTATAATTTCATGAAATAAAAATTCATGGACACTGAGTGAATGATTAATCCTAGAGAATTTTAAACACAGTAGGATTATTTACTCATGATTTACATATTATCCCTTGATACGTTTTCAGCTGTTGTACAATATAAGTATATGTGACACAATGTAGAATTTACTTTATCACAAACACGCAGTTAAACAATCGTCAGCAAAAGTTTAGTTACCATGAAATTTCTACTTCAATTTATTATTCTTCATGTATAAAGATCTACTGTTTCATACGAATGTGCAAATAAACAAAGTTTCCGTGTCCAGTACTATAGTAAATCTATGTATATAATCAACACCAAATCTGAATTATAAATATCATTTTGTGCCTGTTCGTAATAATAAAATTAGTAATAATATAAAATTACATTACAATATAATATTGCAACCCAGCAGAGGAAATTAATTTTCTGTTTGCTGGTCTGGGATACAATTATTAAAATGCAACCTAGTGGGAATAAAAATTTTGTTGTCCTATTAACATAAGAAATTATAATTTACTAATTTTTAATTGTTGTATGTTCGTATTTAGTTACTCTTGTCGACTACAAAGTTCGTTCACAACAAAGAATAATTTTCGCTATTTTTTTTTTAATGAATTGATCATCTTTAGCATTGAAAAATAATCCTCGTGGTTTTAAATGTGTAAAAAACGACAGCGCGTGACTAATGTATTTTGGAATATTTAATAATAGATAATTGCAAGTTTAGTAATTGACCTATGTTTTTACATGCCGGAAAAAAATGTGTAACCTTTTAATTACAAAAAAGCGAAATTATTGAACGAGTTAAATATTAGTAATGGCTATAATTTTGAATATATGAACCAATTTTATGAATTTGTGAAAAAAAAAGATGTAAAAATATGTTTTTAATCATTCATTTTATTACAAAATTATAGTTTGATCATTTAAATCTAGATACTAACATAATTTAATGTCTTGAACAATAAAGTTTCAGAGAGCAAAAAGTCTGACACCTTACATAACTACTATTCGAGTAAATAACTCATCTAATGGTCGTCACTGTATACACAAAAAAGTAAACGATGTGGAATCATTCAACAGTAACCAAACTAGAGCTAAACATTATTCAGTTCTACTAGAAAAAAAAAACACGTGACAAATTGTTCATGAATTGCCAAAAATATTGCCAAACCCAATACACTCTTATCCGTAACAAACAGCCAAAGCCTCGGCAAAATTAGAATTCTAAAGAATCGTCTAGATCGAGCACGGCAACAATAAGAACACTGACATCGAGGAACGCCAACTAAAATGAAGATGAAACACATGAAATTTCCTGGCTTGGTACTCAAGCCATCCTCAGATGCTATCTGCAGTAATAAATGCATCGAGCGAGGTACAGCGTCGAGAGAGAGAAAGCTCTTATCGCGAGGAGGGAGGAGGGGGGACCGTACACGCGTGCTGCTCGCGAATTCGCCGCGGAAAGCGCAGAAATCCCGACAGCTATACAATGCGCTCTTCCGATCGGCAAAGCGCGCGCGCGCGCGCTGCGCGGTCCGAGCACCTTGCCGCGCGTGTTGTATATATCAGTCGACTGACGAGCCTCGAGCCGCGCGCAACTGGACGCTCGTTGACGGCGATCGGCAACCGCACGCGCGCGCGTCTCCGTCGCCTGCCGATCGACCTTTCTCTTTCACGGCTTTTCAGCTCTCGCTGTTGATGGTGCACAATTGTAAGATTCGACTTCGTCTCAAACTGCTTGTCATCCAAACGTACACGCGTTCCTTTCTTGTCCTCTCTTTATCGCGTAATTTCTAGCGAAGCGCAACGGTATGCAATACTAATCAGTTCATAAGTGTCGTAAATAAACCTAATGACATTTTTCCTATGTGACTAGCGCGTACTAATATGGTCAGGTGGTTCAATATCAGGAACGCTAATAAACTTTCCCGCGCGCTGTGTTATCTTGATTTAATTGTAAATGGCCTAAAACTATCGATAACATCTAATTACGTTGATGTTAATAAAAGCTGCTCCCCATTAGTCATTTATTAGAAGCGATTCGATAATTATTGCTGTATGCCGTGACACTTATCAAGTGTTTACCATTCCAATTTTAAAAATGAACAATAATGATAATAAAAAATAGCACAAAATCGATTATTCAATATCGTTTATCTTTTAACGGCAGAACCAATTGATGTTTTATTTACTCGTAAAAATTTTGTTCACGGCAAGCTTCGAAATCATAACTCATTTTTACAACATCTGCAAGCATTGCGACGTTTATGTGTCTCCTGCAACAAAAATGAATCATCAGAATGCATATTTCGGAATTTAGGAGCTTTTAAATCGTTTTAAAGCGCATCACTATTGGCGTGGAAATGCTGACTCACTAAAAAGCTCCAAGTTTTCAGTTTCCGAGTTCACGCATAGAGAGAGAGAGAGAGAGAACGCAAAAACTGTAGCTACATGACGAAACTAAGATGAACGAGTGACAGACGCGCGAAGCTTGTAACATCGAGCAGATCTCCAAGAGAGTTGATGAGCTCAAGATCATCCCGAAAAGCAAGAAGGCCGCTGCTGCGCACAGTTTCACAGGTCCGAAATTAGCATTGGATGGTGTAAGTGGAAAAGCCACTAAATAATAACACAGTGCGCGTATGCCGCGACAAGAAAGCTCGGGCATAATAAGAGTGCGGCGTTGAGGCAGCGCTCGACGATTAGATGAGGAATTATCTACGTGACAGAAGAAGTGTGGCGAAGAAGACGATGAGGTCGGGTGGCGGTGATATACAAAGTTGCGAGCACGGCGCTCCCACGACGAGCGAGAAGACAAGGTTGCTCTGAGCAGCAGCAGCAGCAGCAGCAGCAGCAGCAGCAGCACGGAGACAATCTGCCGGCAAGACATTGAAAGTCCGCGTCGTCCGATAACAGGCCTCAGTCGTTCTCTTCGCAACATCCAAAGTGTCGCGTTCGTTGCACGTGCAGCCGATTTTTCCTTCGCGTTTCGTCGCGCAACGTTGACTGGACTCCGTGCGATGTGATCCGGCCGGCTCGTGCGAAGGAGGAACACGCTGAAACAGATAAACATGTCGCTGCACAGGAGCAGCGCCGAAGGTCTCGGCTACCAGAACACTTTGGTAAGTACACGTGCCCTGTATCACTTGGTTCTGTTACGAGCGCGCGCCTCTCGATCTCGCACTGCCCATCGCGAAAGAAAACTGGCGTCGAGAACACAAACATGTTTACGTGGAAAGAAATCAGTACGGTCGCGGTACACCCCCTAGCGCGCCGAAGCGCTTTCCCGCTCGTCACGCGTATTGTTATTTTTAGGTGGTTGCGAGTCGCGAGCGCGAACACCGCAGGTCAGACGAGTGCTCGCGCCTATACACGGTGCACATCGTCGCCGATGTCTCGACGTAAACTGTTTCTCATCGATAGCTTATATTAGGTATTGAACAGCTTTGACGAGCCGCTCGCAACGATTGATAAAAGCCACGTTTCGTCACAACACACCGCAAAGGAATTCTTGCGACAGACGTACTTGCTGCTCGCCTGCTAGAATTCTAGTAAAGCTTCGGCAACTCGCACGACTTACGCTAGTGATCGCAGGCTAAGCATCTTACAGCGACGTTACTGAAAGTTGGCTTGGCGTAGTTTGTTTTGAAGACTCTACGTGAGTCATTTTCCTGGTGATTTGGAAAGTCGCGTACGATATATTTTATTGTTTTGACTTGTCACAGTTTTTATCATCGGCGAATTATTAATGAAAGCATCACAATCAGTTGCTTTGAAACATTGTTGTCGCTGGGAACTTTCAGTTTAACTTCTACGCAACGAAAATCGCTGCAAACACCTGCGCTTCCAAACACAATCATTTTGTTGTGCTAGTATTCTATTGTGTATACACTTCACATGTTTAATATCTTTAACTGTTTTTTCGCAAAATGTCATTGGAAGTAATAATTAATTATAAAGGATATCGAAAACCTAGAATAATATTTTTTTCGCACTATAGACGCCTTTCTACTTGTATTTAGTATATCAATTTTACATACGTTTCCTTTCATAACGAAACATATCTTATCCAAAATCCTTTTAAAGAACTCTTCTATTAGAACACACGATTTTTACTTCGTAAAATCATATTACACAGCTACGCGTGCTCTCAGCCGAGCAGAAATTGTGCGTTAAGTCTCTGATGCATTAATATTTGAATAATATCTGTATTTGTTCGCCCTGATTTGTTTTTAATATCATCTCCACTTTTGCCTTTTTATTTGGTTTCAGTCAGTAAGAACAGAGCCACAAGGATCTTTTGATTATCGAAAATATTCGGGGAAACATAAATGAAATTGAAAAAAATATGTGAGTTAATACAGTGGTTCTTTATAAGTTATCATTGGTCCGCGCTCACTCTTCGACATTAAGTTATCACCATTAGCCGCCCTATAATCGCTAGTGTTTCGTATAGCGAAAGATCACGCTCCAATGACGTAATGTCGAATATTATCATTCATCTTTGTGCACGGTGTACGATAGCAAAGTCTGAAAAATATGATCTCCAATTTTGACGTACTTTCCAGGTTTTGAGGTTAGTAGTAATGAAGTCCGTCTCGTTAGCGCTATTAGCAACTACACAATATTGGATGCTTTTCGAAAACTACAAATATAAACGAATGAAAACTATACGAACCGCATTACAAAGAGGGACATAGTTGTTCGTTTGCGTCAAATTAGTTACAAAAAAGAGTACGTGACGTCAGTCAACTATCAAGTTCTTATTTATTGCGACGAAGTTTCTTTCTCAATTATCTTCGCCGTTCATATTTTGTAAAGATTTATTCGTTTTTTTTGTAATGGCGGGCTTCCATTATCAATAATTGTTTGTCTTGTTTAGACTTCAATTTCACACTTTTGTCATTCTCGTGCGCCTCTCACGAATGTTTTTAAAAATTATGTATTAAGGGTTTAAGCTAGTTTCTTCCATATTTTCAGATACTTTAATAGATCCCACAAATATAATATAGCGAAACATATGATTGACACGCTCATTGAATATTACCGTAACACTTTGCTTTAATTGTAGACAGATGATGATTTGAACAAAAGAAATATTGTCACAATGTCATCTCGATAATGATGATAAATTACTGTCATTACACATGTAGATTCAGTCTTATCTCTCCGAGAAAACTATTACTACAGCTTATTTGAATATTTCGTGTATGTATTTTGCAACGATATCACTATGCCATTGCTTTATTTTTTCAGTAAACTTTTCTCTATGTATATCGCAGCAGCTTAAGATCCTTTTAACGCAAGGAGAAAACCTCATGAACTTGTTCTTTTCTTATCTCTTCATTTTTATTCTTATCAATCAAAGTCAATCACTATTAGACGATACTTTCTTAATCGAATAAAGAAACTCCAAATGACGAAGATTTAATCGTCGAAAAAATCTTTAAAATGTGCAAAGACAAATGTGAAAAAATCCGTTTCCGAGGACATCTCACTCGCACGTCAGTAGCATATTTGCTAAACGTATTCACGAGGCTGTAACGTTGTACCTAACATACTGGGTTAACTTCGATTACGTGACGAATGTGTCGAAACGCTAATCGTAAATCTGTTGAATTTCTGGTTCTCGCCACCAGATCAGAATTCCGAAAAAGTGTAATAATTATTAGCCTAATACCTCCAGCGAACAATTTGTCAAATAACAAAATAAAAGCCAGCAATTATACACTGACGTAAAACTGCTACTGGTCACGTGTTCTATGTATGAGCATTTTTTTTCTCTGCATAGCTCTCCGATAACTACGAGCGCGTGGGTGACCGAGGCAAGGATTTTCTCATATATACCAAGATGCTTTATCGGCAACTCGTGACTAGATTTTCCGAGACGTAAGGGCAGTTGGATGAGTAATGAAATAGGCCACAGTGATAACGCTATCCACCAACTAGTAAAGATAGATATCATTGTAAATATAGATGTATTGAATTATTATGATTCCGAGAAAGAACCGCACGGATAGGAATAAAAAGATGTGAGGAAAAATCTTCGATTCAATTCTTTGAAATACGCCCTAATTGAATTGTGAATGGTCAAAATAATAGTAATACAATCATATGGCGCTGGGCTTTGTGCGTCGTTTCATACTTTAGTGACTTTTGTATTTATTAATGAATTCATCATCATTTGATTAGGATGCTTGCTAAGAAACAAAGACAATAGATGTGAATATTCTCAACGTCACGGGTTTTTCATCTTTTGTATTATCGACCTAAGCACTGGTTGATTTTGCAAAAAAGAAAAAAATGATAATGTAACTGAGGTGTAATCTTCGATTCATCAAAGTGAATTATTGGCATCACCGGGTTGCAATTCAATACGCGAGCATCTCAAACCGATGATTTTGTAAATGAAATTACTTTGAGCACATCAATAATAAGGCAATAGTGAGCATGACAAACATGATTATACGACGCGTCACTCAATTATCCGGTGATTTACGCGCAGGTTGCTTGTAGATGATCAATTGGCGCAGCTCGGATTTTCGCATTTTTGTACAGCATCGCGGTTTATTTTTTATCCAATTCAATAGATTTCCACTGATGTAATTGATGAAATTATTTGTTATAAACTGTAGTTGACACTGCACTTGAAAATCCTCCATGTAGTTCGCTCGGCATGTTGGAGAGATCGCGACCCACCAACTACCTAAATTAATTTCATTATCGCACTCTTCAATTTTCGAGGCATCAAACACTCTCCAAAAAGATATACTCGGCAGCTTTCTATTCAACCGAGGTAATGTGGAGGATTTCATGGGGGTATTAGGCTATGGAGGAAGCCACACGTATTTTCAGTGAGTGATCTGTGATCGACGCAAGAGATGCCTTGAGGCGCGTGGCACGTACTTGTAAGTCTACTCCTATCGCGTCGAAATTGATACTCCTCCGATTCCATTTGACATTTTTACAGCGGAGTACACGTTATATCATTGCACAATTTATTTTATCTTCCTTTGAGAAACGTACAGATCACTGTTTCTATTTCTCATCTACGAAACGAATCTTTTTGAGAAATCGTTCAAGTGACCTTTGTCGAGGGAACATTCCACTGCGAGTCGTTTAGCTTCAATGCTACGGCTAGTTACCAAATTTGTTGACTGATAGGCACAAATGAACGAACGAACGTCTGCTGGCGGCGGAAAAGTAGCCGCACCCAAAAATAACAAAACAGCAGATGTATTTTAAGTGCAGGCACTTTTAAAAATAAAACGAAGAGAGAGAGAGAGAGAGAGAGAGAGAGAGAGAGAGAGAGAGAGAGAGAGAGAGAGGTGAGATGTACACAATGCAACGTCTAGCCGTCGACGATTCTATTTTCGCGCATTGCAGTTCAAGCGAGCAATAATGAGGCGCTCATAGCAACGCGGAAAATTCAGTTTTCGCACGTGCGTAGAGTCAACGCGACTCCCTACGTCACTGTGCGGAGGAAAGCTATCAGTGCAATGGATTCAAATGCCTCGGACGACGCTGGACACTCCAAGGTGTATGGGGCGAGCAATAGTCACGAAAGTAACATCGAACAGGAAGTCGCGCCGACGACGAGCGAAATGGCGCGCGCTCCGTATCTCGGACTGCAATTGGCGAGTGCGGTCGAGTCGCGGGCGCGCGCACGGCTGTGATATGGCGAGCAGTGCGCCGCCCGCGAGAGCGCGAAATTACGGTTAGCTCGACTTCCAATGCTGCGTCAAATGTATAAATATTGTTGTGGCTGCACTGAAAAATAACGAGTGAAATTTAATGAAACGAATCAACGAACAAGTTCAGCTTGTTGGCATTTTACGAGCATAACCTTGCCCGCTGAGCGCCAAGCGCAAAATTATCGTAACGATAGCAAACGGAAAATTTATGAATGCAAATAAGTGAGCGCAAAAGGCGCAGGCAGTAAAACGGCAAGATTAAACGCCTCGGTCGTGAAAACAGCATGAAGAGCAAACGCAATTTGCCGGCGTCCCGTAGATAAAGGTAAGCAAACAAGCAAATTAGCCGGAGGAGGCAAACATTCGACGCGAATAACCGAATATATCCCGATTGATTATTCCAGCGAAAGCTCTGAAGGTGCAAGGGAGAACCGGCCAGTTGAAAAGAGGAAATAAAAAGAAAAAAAAACGGGGGGGGGGAGGGAAGCAAACGAGACCACATCGATAAGTGAACTCTCTACAATGTCGCGATAATGGCACGCAAAGAGAGTGAGAGTAGGAGCGGCCGGTCAGAAATAATCAACAGCCCGAGCGCGATGTGGCAATACGGCTGTTACGTACAGTGAGATCGAACGTCGCGCGACAGCGTCGTTTCGCGCGCCGCGTGATAACGCACTATCGCTTCGCGCGATACGCTCGCATTTCGTTCCCTTCGCTCGCTCTCTGTGGAGTATCGCGCCGATCGGCGAAGTCTCACACCTGTGCGTCTCCACGTCGACTTGAGCCTCGGCTCGGCGATGGCGCTCAGGAGAGTATGCAGTCGCGCGAGCTCGTATCGTTTAGCTTTCCAACGCTGCGAGCAGCATGCAGCCAAGATGGCGAACGTTGCCACAGCCGGCGACGACTGCGTTGTAGCCAAGGAGGAGGTCGTGCGATTCATTTCCGACTGCATGCAGAAGGCTGGATCTAACGGCGAAGACGCGCGCACGATTGCCCATCACCTGATGACGGCCGATTACAGGGGCCACTTCAGCCACGGTATGAATCGAATGGAGATGTACGTGAATGACATCAGGCATAAGCTCACCGATCCTAAAGCTCGACCACAAGTCGTCAACGATTTTCAGGTTTGCTTCGACGTCACACCGTTCTATACAACTTTCGCTCGTGATTTCGAGAAAAGATTTTTTAAGTTGAACGTTGCCATCGGTCACTCAGTGACCACACGTTGTTGCCGCGCTGATCCTTACGCTGCTGTTTCAAAACGATTTTATGAACTATTTATAAGCATATACAAATTAAGTTACTCCGCCTTATACACACGTTGATGAATAGTTTGGCATTACTTTCAACAAAACATATATCGTTCATTCGATGGGAGCTACGTATATATTGAAATGCAGGGGTAATTATTGATATTGAATAAGATATTTTTTCATTATTACAAAACAAAGAGTCGAGTGATACCATTTCTCATGGTTTATGTGCAAGTAAATTGTGGCATCTCTTTTTTATCGTTAATAATGTGAAATATTAGTTAAGTAAATATGAAACGACGATTTTATTGGAGACTGCCAAGATAACTGAAATGAAATCGCAACTAAAAAATGATCGAAATGCAAGTTATTCTTACGGGATTACGATAGAATGAAATAACAAAGGTAACGTATGTATTTTATCATCTACAGGCAATAGCCCTGGTGGACGGAAACAACAGTCTGGGTCAAGTGGTGGGCAAATATTGCATGAAGTTGGCAATAGAGAAGGCCTGTAAGTTCGGCATTGGTATGGTGGCAGCTAGGGGCTCCAACCACTATGGCATTTGCGGCTACTATGCCCTCATGGCAATGGAGCACGACATGATCGGTTTCAGCTGTACAAACACAAGTCCCTTGATGGCACCAACTCGCAGTAAAAAAAGTGCTCTGGGTACGAATCCTCTGGCACTGGGCATGAAAGCGAGCAATTGCGACGAGTTCGTTTTAGATATGGCGACAACAGCGGTGGCGCTCGGTAAAATCGAGCTGGCGAATAGGAAAGGCGAATCTATACCCGAAGGATGGGCTATGGATAAGGAAGGTCATTTGACCACGGAGCCAAAAAAGGCATTGGAGTCTTACTTGTTGATGCCTCTCGGTGGCGCTGAAAAACATTCGGGCTACAAAGGCTATGGTCTGGCTACGATGGTTGAAGTGCTGTGTGGTATTTTGAGCGGAGCACAGTATGGTCCAAATGTACGCACGTGGAAGACTGGCGACGCAGTAGCGAACTTGGGTCAATGCTTTATGGCGATCAATCCAGAAGTGTTCGCGCCAGGATCCAAAGACAGATTGGCTCATCTTTTGCAACAATTGAGAGAGCTGCCAAAAACCGGTGACAAATGTGTTCAGGTGGCGGGTGATCCGGAAAGAACTGCCATGGCTAAAGTTGACAAAGACGGTGGCATCGAGTATCATCCTAATCAAATAAAAAATTCCGCGGATTTTGCTAAAGAGATGGGTGTTGAGCCGATGAAACGCGTCAAGAAGAACCGATGTTGATATTAACGTTCATCGTACAATCGCCTTCAAAAAATCAAGCGTGCATAATATTTCATATTAAATTGTTTATCTTTTCCGAAGTGCAAGGTAACAATAAGTATTTTTTTATATTTTTGACTATTTATATGATACTCAAAAAACGTTATGTTTGGCAAATTGTAATATCTTTAATTAAATCTTGTGTTTTTATCGTTAGGAGCAATACTGTTTGTAGTAAATATAGAAATAAACTTTTTTTATGATCTTTTCACACCGTGGAAAATCATAATCTCTGCAAAAAAGTGCATGCTCGTATGGAATTGCTAATATTCCACATGTTGCTGTCATAAATAATGGAAGAATTGCACACATTACATTACGTCGATGGATGTTACTTAACAAGAAACCGGTACTCTGCCGTCTGACGCGCATTTGTACTCTTTGTCATAAAATCTGCAAGTTTTTTCTCATAAAACCGGATTAAACTGTACCGATTTTATTTTTTTATTTAAATACAGTCTACATTTCTAAAAACCTCTTGAAATCACAGCATATACCGGTATATTTTATGCGAGTTGGGTGACAGCATTCGAAACGAGTGTGAAACGTACTGTAGAAATACAACACGCGATAATCCAGACATAGTGTATTCAACATGCCAATATTTAGGATGAAAGATGCTCTTATAATATAAGCATTCTGTAAAAGCAAATAAATAATAAATTGATAGAAATAAGCTTGGCTCAAACGCAGCGTGGTCTTTCTATAAGTAATCTCTAATCTTGTCTTAGAATTTCGGTATTGAGTCACGTGATGAGTTTGCGAGTAATTAAGGACTCCAAATGGTATAACGCTTTACAGGAACAGAGTTGATCTTTGAAAAAATGTAAAATAAAATTTGATACCTAGATTGACTCATATAACTTTTCGGTGTTGAAGCCAATTCATTTACAACGACGGAATCAATCAAAATAAAATTCAAGTTGTATTATATTAGTATATCGGAATCTGTTGAAAAGGAAAGTTCTTTTTAGACTTCGACAGTCAACCATCAAAATCAAGTGCAATTCCTGTTTAGTCTTATAGTAAATCTAATAACTTTTGATAGTTCAGTAATCAAAAATCATTAAGAAATCAATGAATTCTCGGGCACCTTTAATACGCGGCACCTTATCAATGTCACCATATTTGTACTGTATCATTTATATATTTTAGCAGACATGTATGATCGCCGTTGAATATTTTTTCGATCAATAATCTTAGATATGAGTTCTGAGTAAAAGCTTTCTTTACGGATTTGCAAACCAATATTCAATATCTTATCTTAATACGTTGTAAATAAGTATTCGTTCTTTTTAAAAACTTACATTGATTTTAATCTATAAAATTTGTTTGGTGAGCAAAAGAACAAAAAAATTATATTAAGCATTGATAATTAATTGAACAAATGATACAATCCATATAATAAAACGTCAGAAATAAAAATTTGCGGAAGATTCCTCATCGCATTTCACATCTCTTCGGCAATAAATCCTAGTACATACAGGCGTCTCCGACACCCTTAGTCCACTCGGCAGCAGCACGAGCCACGTGTAATCAAAATGCCAAGAGTCGCCGTAGCCAGTAACGAGTGTATTGTAACCGAGCAGCATAAGGTGGTACAGCACAGGTAATCAAAATGCCAAGCACCGTTGCTAGCAACAGTTGTGCAGTAATCAAGCGGCACGATGCACCACACAATGCAGTCAAGATAGCGAGTGTTAGCTACGATTGTATTGTAACCCATCAGGAATAAGACGTGCGATCCATTTTCGATAGTATACAGAAAACTGACTTGAATGATGCAGTGCTCATGCGGTTGCCCATCATATAATGAGTAATCACTTCGAGGAATACTTTAGTCACGAGATAAATCGTATATGAAAATACTTGTGAACGATATCAGAAATATGTTTACAAATCCTGATGCTCGATAAGACATCACTAATAACTTTCAGGTTGGCATGGTGATACATAAATTTCATTAATTAAACAAAGAAATACAAAAGCTATATATTCGATCTTTTACCTTTCGCAGGAGGTTGCAACAGTCTCGAACAAGTAGTAGGCAAACATTGCAGGGAGCTGAACATCGAGAAAGCACGCAAGTTCGACATTTGTATGCGGAAGCTTTCTTGACAGTAATCCCGTTATGTCAGCACCAACTCGTTGCGAACAAAGGGTCCTCGCTGTCAATTTAATATCACTTGACTCGGGACCGAGTAACGACGAAAAATTCCTACTAGATATTACTATAGCGGTAATGGTTTATTTTTGGTAAAATAGAGTTGGTGAATATAGAAAAAGTTAATCTCTATTCAAAAGACGGGATATGGACAAAGATACGGCAATAAGATGGTGGAAGTCTAAAATATCGATGCCACTTGGTGGTGAAGAAACTAAATTTCTACTATAAGCTCTACGGTTTGTCCACGATGTTTAGAGTTTTATGATGTTTTGAAGGTTATTGAGATGGTATAGCGAACTTGAGTCACTACCTCATAAGTATTCATCCAGAAGTCTCGGCACTTAATCGAAAGACAGATTGTCAATAAATTGCAACAGCTGGGGAAGCTATATGTGACGAGAGTGCGACGATCGCCGACGATCCAGAACGAAATGCCAAGGCCAAAGTTGACAGGGATGACGGTATTGCGTGTCATCCAAACAATCAAAAAATCAGTTTGGTGAAATTTGCTAAGGTGATGAATTTGGAGCCTATGAAAGCATTATCATTATTATCAAGCAGAAACAATATTTGAAATTGTATATTTTTATAGCTGTCGAACTTTTGTTTATCAGTAATTGTACTCTTTGTTGTGTAAAACCTTCGAAATCTATTGTGATCGAAGCGTCCGCTGTAACACGAATCATACGGAACGAGCTTTTTTTTTTTATATATCAAACGATTTCCCGATGCGCGCGAAGCAAAAATATTTTTCAAGCGCCTCTAACATTCCTCGATTTCATTGAAGCGTAGAAGCGCATCAAAGTGTAATTTTTCGCAGGCTCAGCGGCCACTCTGGAATAACGCGCGCGAAACTGGAACGCGCTCTGTAAGAGAGGCGCGCACGGCACAGCCGGGCGCGCGCGCAGGTGTTAGGTTGATTTGACGCAAGGCGTACCAATATTTGCGCGAGCGTGTGTGTAATCTAATAATTTGATGGAAACAAGCCTCTCTGTGACGCAACGCCTGCCTCCTCGCTACGAGCAAAGTGCTGACCTTGTCGAATCTCTGGCGGCTCGAGTCACGTGACGATTCGATTCTAACGACAGGTGACACGCAGCTGACGGCGAGCGCTCGAGATATGTATCGCGATACGCTTCGTTTGTAATTGTAAAACGATGGCATTGGCAAAATTAAGTATATAATCCACGTTCACGCAAATACACGAGATGTTGAATAATCATATCAACGAATTATATATTATCATGTTGACAAATTATAGTTTTTCTTAAAAATACTCAGAGAAATATTAAATGTATCGTTCATAAGTATCGCTCGATCGATTCATCATTTGCAAGCACATATTTCCAAGTAATTCTGGAGTGTGATTGAAATTCGTTTCTGTCCTTCTAACAATGCATTGTCCGAGTACACAACATACTTTCTTGTGTCATACAAACATAATCAGACCGCAAGAAGAAAAGACAGATGAATCCAATTGCATAAATTGGTCATGAAAAATCAAACCTCGACTTACATAGTTAATACGTTTACAAATCAAGTATATATCAGCATGAACTTTTCCGGGTATTAATTGTTTAGTAATTTTAAATTACTGATGCCTGATTTCAAAACTTATCATTGATTTAGACACATGTTAATATATTATTTCTTAGCAAGCCAATATCACACGTATATATCCAGACTATAAATAAAATCACATTTATAAATCACACGTAAATGAATAATTTGAAATAATTCATTATTAGAAAATTAGAAAAACGATTTATGACTATCAACAAATAAGCGTCCATCGATCACTATTTCATTCATTGGCCATTCATGCTATTTATCAGAGCACCATGCATAAATATGCAACGACAATCCACTCAACCTGTTTATTCCGATAACTTTGGTTAGAATAAAAAAATATTGTTATTATCATTAACCCTTGATTCGTGTGTGTGTGTGTGTGTGTGTGTGTAACCCAATAACTGCATGGACGTCATGTAATTATAAAACTGAATTCATTAACAAAGAGATGGGCGAATGCTGACGATTCGGTCAATCAAACACTTTTAATCACATTATTTATACAGAAAAGTGAATGAAACAGTATATCAACAATGTATTTCACGTATCTTTAACTCCTCTGCAAAATATTCAGAAACAACTGCGTACAAGAAATATCGACGCTGAAGGTTATAGAAAAAATCGACACGAGCGAAAATAATCATATAATAAATTCCAATGGAAAATGAGGCCGTGCGCGTGCGCAAGTTTTAAAGCCGAGGCATGTGAGCTTTGTCGTGGAAAACGCGGCGAGAGTATTCCCTAAGCGCATCAAAGACTCGAGTAGCAGGAGAGAGAAGCAATTCGGTCGCTGTGAGCTACTGTAGGTATGTGTGCGTATGTAACGCAGCATTAACTAATTGAAGTAGCCCAATACCGTGACGAGGTCGTAGAACCCATGGGACAGAGTGCGCTAGGTGAGCTCTCTCTCTCTCTCTCTCTCTCTCTCTCTCTCATCCCGTTTGCTCTGGCTCTCACTCTGCCACTGCCACTGCTGTCATGATAAACAGCGAGCAGTGCGCACGGCTTGGCTAATTGCAGCGTTGATTGTGCGATTTGCGTCGGCGAGGTTGACTTTAATGTCAACATTAACAGTAATAACCGCCTCTCGTCGGTGGATTAATCTTCGGAGATACTTCAATCGTATGTGCCTCTGAATTGTATGAGGAAGTACTCACTGATCGGATAATGAAAAGGAAACTTATACTCTTGTAGTGATCTCAACGTTGATTCTGAGGAATCTTCTCGAGGCTCGTTGATATTGATTAAATAATTTATAATTCCACGCATATTTATTTTAAACAACGAACTAGTTTGATTGCATGAGAATTGCATCGGTAGATAAAATAGTAAAACATGCTCAGCCGTAATAACTCTTTAAGTTTGGCGCCAGCAAACCTCAGGATTTTGTTTAATCGCACAACAGCAATGTTAAACAAACGGGATAAGCTAATTTATTTGCGACCTTATAACGAAGACAAAGTCTTGGGCTATATACGCGAGAAAATAAAACAGCTTGTATTGCGGCGACTATTCTGCGATTAGTACAATTTTAGGGATCGGAGCTTTTTTTCTTATTCCGTTGATACGATTGGTCCGACAAAAATTGTAAGGTAAGAAAGTGTCGAATTAATATTTTCCTCGTAATTTATTGTCTTAATGAATGGTAATATATTATTATCAAGGGATCTTATGAGTATTTAAAGGGTAAACAATTTCATAGTTTTACGACGTGAAATATTACCTGTTTGCACGTAACTCTAATTCACAAAAAAAATGCTCAACTATTAAAAAAATTATCTTAGTTGCTAAAGGAAAAAGAAGGCACGATAAAACTGTAGGTCGGCCGACCACCTAAAATTCATCACGATATTCAGCAATAACTCCGCAGCGTAAGTGTAAGATTGCACTTAATTAAAAAATAAGCCAGCTGTAAGAAAGATATATCCACTCTAATATCCGCGTATACAGCGACTAATGTACGTCTTTTCAAATACAAACTAACCCAAAAAAAAACGAAAAAAAATCATCGCACTTGACCTTTGCAACGGAAAAGGTGGCGTTCCACGCGTGTGTGCTACACGAGATCGATCTCGTCAAAGAAAGCGTTGCTGCGCGTGAAATTGGAGTTCGTTTGGCGCTCGTGCGCTTTGGTAAGACGAGCTGAATTACGAGGTAATTTTGGCCAATGATAACTCGTGACTTTGAAGGCAGCTTCCTACGAGGGTCCCCCTTTACCGAACACACGCTCACAGAGTCATATATACTACTGGTGCTCGAGGGAAGTCGCTTATTACCAAATGGCTTACTGTACAATCGGCACAACAAATCCCATCATTGTGCGCGAGCCACTATCTCTCTTCGCAGGTCTTCGCACGCCTCGAGCACACGCGTATTGCCTTCGCATTCCCTTTTTCTCTTTTGTTTAATGTCACAGCGGAAACGCAAAATTTGACGTTAATTCCAGCGGGAAATACTGGATTATTCCGCATCAGCAGTGAAATAAATCTCCTTAGACGGGACTCCAATATTAGAACTACACGACCAAGTCTAGACTATTTGCGACGCTTTGACTCAGAGCAAAGAGAATTTCGAGAGTATTACAACTCGTAAAATCCAGAATTGAAATCACTTTAACCGATTTAATTAGCGTACAGCTGAGTCGCGCTAAATTTACA